AGGGGGCGCTTGGGGGTATATATGCAAGCAGGGCTGGGCGTGTGGTGGAAGGAAAAGTGTCACACTAAGTGTTGCCGCATCGAGCGTAAAAGGGTGAGGCGTAGTGCACAAGGGGAGCGGCGTGCCAGGTTACGCAGCCCCGGCGCACCTGCCGCTTTCGGTGGGAGAACAATAGCCAGAGCATAGTGGACCATCACCTGCCGCCGATGAGGGAAAAAATAATTTTAATGGGAACAATATCGTTCAGCCTTCGCCCGGGCGCGAAACCCACGTGGGACCCTTCCGATGATCCGACCCGCGGGAAGTCAAACTTAAACCGACCCATCTTCATGAAACACCCTACCCGTTGAAACTAGTAGCACCCGATGTTCTTGTTTCATATCACGTCTGATATCACATTTTCGATTAGGGGGCGGTCACTGATAGCGACGTCGAGTCTTGGCTTTTGTGGCTGATTTTTTCGTCGCCGACCCAGGCATGGAGCAGCCGCGGACAAATGTCCCCTATGTCGGTCTGGCCTCCCCCGGACACCAACCGCCGAAGCGGCTGGCACAAAGCCTCCCAAACATACACAAACGTCAACCCATCCACTACCACTACCACCGCCTCCATTAACTACCAATGTAACATCAGTGTGCTGCTTCTGTGATGGCAACTCTAGCGCGTATGGTTTCCTAATCCTCTAGTCGGACAAAAGCCGCCACAAAACCCAAAGCCTCCGTTTGCTTAGCCGCTCTCGAATCAAATACCTAGTTTTATCTACTACTACCTCTAGAACGTGTATGCCATAACCGCGGTTACAATCCCGCCCTGACTTCGGCTTAACCGCTAATATTGGCTCGCTATTACTACAAGCAGATATCGGTACAGCGGCGAGTACATTGCAGCGACGCACACGCCCACTGCTAGGGGCCATCACTTACGATATACGTGCCAGCGGCTCACGTGCAACCACACAACCTCGTCATCGCAAAACACTGTAAATATTATTCGTATTGACGACAGGCTAACGGGCGCTCGATTACCCGCCGGAACCTTGTTTTCGGAAGCAACCACCAATAGAGACCACAATATAGGAAAAACTGTTAGAAAAATACTTGGCCATTTACTGCTGTAGGGTAGCGTGATGCCCGTGAGCTGACTCTGGAGCTAATGTCCCAAATGAGGCTAGCCTGGGGACAGCCTAACATTGCAGGCGACGTGCATCGCGGTGTCGGGTACGCCAGTGGCCGGTGCCCTTCTTATTCCCGGCGCTATCCCGGTGGCTTGCCTCCTATTGTAATGCGACCGCTTGCTGCCCCCCTCCTCTCCTGCCCCTCAACCCGTCAGTTGCCAAGGACAACCAGTGCGTGGGGGCACACCGTTGCTCTCGTGGCAACGGTGGCAAAGGCAAAACGGTCGCACACCCAGAGGTGGTTTAACTTCCACCAGGCGCGGTGCAGAGATGAAAAATGTCTCATTGGTAATAAGCCCGATGCACCGTGATGCCGACACCTCGTCACAGCCGCAGCTACACAGAGATGCAAAGATACCAACTGGCCCCTGTTTTGTGTTCTATTAGTGTCTATGTCACCGGTCGCTCTTAGAACCGCGCCGGCGTCACTCTTGTCGCCTTGACAAACACGGGGATCGACCCGCCGGTGCCCACGGCAAACTGGCGGTGGCCAAGCAAGAGCAACTGGGTGCGGATCGCCCCCAGGTGGGTGGTGACGGCGACGATCAGCTCACTGCGGCGCGTCTCGTCGAAGATCTGGTTGAACGCCCCGTACATCCGCACCGCCTGCTCGGCGATCGTCTCTCTATAATCGTCTTTATAGTAGATATCTTCTTCGGCAAACCCGGGCTCGATCTCAAACCCCTGCGGCGTGTACTTGGCCGCGATCACCGCTCGCGGCGACCGTTTGTCGCAGGTGTGGACCCCCATTTGCTCGCGAAGCCCCTCGCGGATCTGCGGTTTCGCCTCGTGGAAGTCGACGAGATCGCCCCAGGTAAGCACGAGGGTGTCGGCCGACCGCCGGAGGGGCAGCAGGTAGAACTTGTGCGGGACCACTCGCGTGCCGACGGCGTCGATCACCTGTTTCCACCCGTCGCGGTTATCTCTCGCCTGGGCCTGGCCCAACTCCGTCAACTCCGGGTCCGGCCCCCACGTCCACTGGCCGTCACCGTCAAGTTTCAGCCACGTCTCGTTCCAGGCGTCGTCGCCAAAGTGCAAGTGGGCCTTGTTGTGGTACCCCTGCCCATGGCGCGCTAAGTACAACACTTTGTACACCGTGTCCTCGTCGGCCTCTTTATTGAGCTTGTCAAGCGTATCAAGCACTTCCGGCCACAGCGTCTGAACCCCCATCTGGCTCGTCAAGTAGTTGAACTGGGTGTCGTCCGTGGCCGTGTCCAGCTGGCGGAACTGGCCGGGGACGACCTCGAACTGCCAGTGGTGGGGCCGCAGCAGCACGTACTGGTCCTTTAATTGACTAAACGCCTCGATGTCTTCGCGTTTGAACCGGGAATCAAGCACATCGAGCGCGGTGGGCTGGGACTTCATTGTGGACGTGGTCGGCGTGGTCAACCTAAAGCGCGCGCGCGTTTGTTCCCCGGTAGCCCCTATAGTTGGAGCCCTCACTAACAGCACTGAACAAATACCAACAGCCGCGGTACAGACGCTCGTGCCACAAAACGCTTGTGCCATAAAATAACAGGAAACCTATTCCCCATTAAGAATGGCCGAGTGACAAAAGAAAAAAAAGAAATAGCCCGTCCCACATACGACCTCGCCAACGCCTTCACTAGCCACAAAGCGTTTCCAGCCAGTCTATTTGGACCCGTCGAAGAAAACAGCTGCTCTATACTCTTCTTTAGAACAACTACCATCTCTCTCTCATAGATGGTACACCGACTAAAAGGATACGCGCGGGAGGTTATCTCACCAAGCCACCAACCAGGCCTCTGCTAGCCTCGAAAAACATCTCACGGACACTGATTATCCCCTTTGTCTGACAAAAGACAATTGTCGGCCCAGTCGGTGGTCTTTCTAGTCCAGGCCATTCCAGTTCCAAATACTAGATTCTGCAAGCCACCCGTCAAGCCTCCTTCGGAATAAATATCTTCAGACAGCCCCGCTCTGTCTCGCCTCGCCCTAAAAACACACGCCCGAGCCCTAAGATAATAATCGTAATGCCACCCGCTGGCTCCGTTAGAGGGATCCCCTATTATGTTGTCAGATGACGTGTTGCCAGATTGAGAGATTATCATCAGAACAATGATCTACAGGTGGATTTTGTCCGACAGCGGAGATGCCACCGAACCAACTGGCACGAGAAGCCTGTACCATTATCGTGTGCGGACTTTTTCCGTTCCCCAATTACCGCTTACCTCAGCAACAATAGAGCCAAGCCCTGGATTAAATGTGGGGAACAAAGAGGGCTTTGATGCTAAGCTGAACTAGACCAAGAAATACTCGGCCGATAGCGAATAAGCGGTAGTGTCCGTCAGTATTTTTGGAGCAAGTGAAATATCGCAGAATGTCTGGTTTGCCTCCCGGCCTAGATTTACACGATGACAACGTACAGATTCCCACGTCTTAGGTGCTTTTGGCTTCAGGGGTGCACACCTTCACGTACCTATGGCACACGAGTCTTAACGCCACGATTAGGCAGTTAAGTGTTACAAAGACTAATGTTATGGTTACTACATGGAAATGGCACGAGTTTCCGGGAAGTTCAAGGCAATGATGCCTCTTTTTCACTCACCCTAGACCGATAATATGAGATCTGATGAGCTGAGATCTAAGACTAGGCATGTAGTGTCAGCTGCTCTCAAAAGACGATCTTTCGTATAGAACGTGTAATCAAGAAGACCCCTTAAATGAGCAGGAAAGCTCCAAATCGTACATGATTGATGTCACACCCCACCACCAAGGCAGACTGTCACATAAGTGTAAGTTTCTGAATGACTAGCTCTTATTGCAACTTCAGTTTCAAGCAATCTGGCTTGTGATAGTAAACATAGATTCTTATAAAACTATAACGTAGGAGTAGACAACACCGATAAATTCCATCAAGTCATTCTGTCAGCGCCCTGGTTTGCCAACTGATCAGCCCGATTGTTGCCGACATTGTCCAGATGGCCCTGGACTTTCGAAAACAGAGCTGCCTCCCACCCTTTATCACGGTAAGACTGATTGATGGAGTCCAACTGGCGCGACATCGGTTCAATTAAGTCCCGGTTCTTGATCTGCTCGCCGGCAGACGTCTGCCAACCATTACTCTTCCAATTCTCCCGCCAGGTCGTCATGCTGCCGATTGAATACAGCGAGTCAGAGTGAATCTTGAGTGGTCCCTTCGAGCTTCCATTCCTCAAAGACTTGGCTTCAGTGTCCAACGCATGCTTCACGGCATGGAGTTCGGCTCGACTGCTGGTGTAATTACCAGACTTGTCAACCGCAGAGAGGGGCTTTGATACGTTACGGGAATCGTTCTCACCGTAGTAAACACCATAGCCACTGGCGGCGGACTTCGTTAAACCATTCCCCCGACAAGCACCATCAGTATAAACGTTATTTGACTTCGCAGACCGCTTCAGACGCCCTGAGGAAGCAGCATAGAAGCAGCCACCAGAACTAGAGCCCCTCAGGGAGTTAGCATACGCGTTTGCTTTCAGTTTGGAGGAGAATTTCCGGAAATCTGCTCCTGAGTACCCTTTCACTTGAGACTCACAGGCACCCCAATTGTCGCAAACACCTTTAGAACGGCCGGCAGCCACGGCGTAATAGCCCTTTTTCGCCATTAGCGAAACGTGTGAAAGGATTCTAGGGATATTTAAGTGCAAGCGCTGGTTATCATTGTTAGTAGAGGATAATCAGTTCCGGTATTCATTGTGAGTAGGGGGTAATTGATTATATGACACAGAGATCGCAACCAATCTCATTCTTAGATTTATCGAATCGACTCTTCAATGGGTTGATTTGCTGTTCAAAGTCCATCAATAATTGGTTTTGTCTACTGTTTGACGAAACCATAAGTAGTCAATTGAAACGACACCCCATGTGAGAGTGATGCTGAAAGGTCTCTTACACGACACTTGACTAGACGTTCTTATCAATAACTTCTCCACGTGCTCTTCTCGAAACCTTAGGGATACTCGTTATCAATCACCCCTTGACTTAAGCTCTTAGAGCTTGAGTCTAGACATTGATAGACCGACAAATTTTGAGATTCGATGGTATAGAGAACATGCTGGCCATGGCTAACTAAAGCGGACCAAAAGTACTTGGTTGATGGTAAAAGGTTTCGTTGATCGTCGTAGGGAACAAAAAGTATGGACGAGTTGGGAATCGAACCCAAGACCTTTCGCATGCTAAGCGAACGCTCTACCAACTGAGCTACACGCCCGGAACGATTTTTGAAGGTCGTAAAATTTATAGGTTTCACAGATTGAAGCTTTAGATTGGCCTAAAAATCGGTTATTTCGTTCTTTGCAACTACCAGTAATACATAATTATACTTGTAGTTTATCACAAACTCTATTATTGCTCTATCAAGTGCTGATAGATACAGAATAATGCAAGTTTTTGACGAAAAAAATGGATGAGTTAGCAAATAGCAGGAATGCTGATTGTCGTTTTTAGTCTAATTGAAGGCTGCCTGCTCAGAAGCCGTGGCGAACTGCCACTCTTTCTGGTTGAGGTTTTCCTGGATGAACTGGAACTTCTCCACGAGCTCAGATGAACTCAGCTTGTAGTTGTTATGCCAGACACAATCAAACAACTCCTGCTTGTCGACAATCACCGCCACGTCATCGGTAAGTTCAACTTCCTCATCGTTGTTGTGTTCGAGGAAATGCCACACTTTACGAAGGTGTAACACCTCGGTGAGTCCAGCGAAAAGCACGGCCACTTGGACGTCGATTTCGCGTTCGTATTCACCGACAATCTGACAGCCCCACTCGATGTTCCCCGTGGTCGACACCACAAAACTCACCAGCTTCCCACTAGGGTTTTGCGTCGTGCTGACGTTGCAGGTGATGGTTTTCTTGTCCTCCTGCTTGGATCCCATGTCAATGCCATTCTCAGGGTGTTGTGCCACGTAAAGGAGAACTTGTTGCACAAGTTTTTGGATACGAGGATGAGGGTATTCTTGATAAGCTTCCAATCTTGCCACCACCTCATTCAAGTCGAAACGAGTGCTATTGGCAAGCGCTTTCAACGAAGCCAACCGCAGTTGCACCCACTGCTTGCCCTCAGCAATCTCTTCGGCACTCATCTCTGCCAACAACTCGGCCTTATTGCGCAATTGCGACCAGTCAAAGTTCGCTGGGATGGGCTCGTCGACGGTGGGCCCTTCGTCACAATTGATGTTGTACTGCTTCACAAGCGACGCCACCTTAATCTCATCGCTAAGATGAATTTCATCGTCGTCACAGGCGATGTTGATATCCAATAAGCGCGTAGGAGGGCCCACATCCTCATTGTCGAAAGCGTAATCCAACACACCCTTAAATCGTTCATACTGGCCTTCGTCCTTTTCAGCAGCAATCAAGTGGTCGCCGTCAGCCACCACCGGCAACGTATTCTCGTCGTACCGGTTGCAGGTGAACGTGCTTGGCGCCTCCTCCGACGAGAGCCAGGCGTTATCCCCCAACACTTCGTCGAGCTTTTCGTACCAGATTCTTGGCGACTGGTGCAACCCAGGAATAGCCTTTTCAAGCTTGTACACCGGCACCAACCCGGGCCGGGGCTGCTCCAGAAGAATAGGGTCGTTGGGGAGGGGGCGCACAAACATCTTGATGTCCAAATCGGGAAGTTCGTCGGTGACGTCGCCAAGCTCAACGTGGTGAAGCTGGTACCCGTTGCCAATGGCATAACTCAAAAAAGCACGCAACGTCTTTGGCGTGAGCTTAGGATACCTCGCCTCAGTGTAGGTGCTTTGGCGTTGGGTCCCCTCTTTGGCGACGATAGTAAGCCTGGTGTCATTGGTGAATTGGAGCTGTTTCCAGGCGAGTTCGGCCGTGCGTTCAAGCACTTGCTTCCCTTCGTCCGTCTCGGGGTCGACCCAGAGGGGCTCGTCCCAAAGCCGCTGAAATTCAACCACGCGCGATTCTTCCTCGCTCCAAACCATTTTTTTATTGTTATGCGTGGGGCACACGGTAAGATATTTATAGTACATTTTTACGAGAGGCTAATGCGAGGAAACCAAAGACACGACGAGAAAAATGCCGTACGACTGCGTGTGGTGCAATTGTGGGGAAAAGATCAGTCCCCCGTTAATATAAAGCGAAAATGTGATGAAGCAAAAGACTTAAATGATATAGGAGACGCTAGGAAGGGACTAGCATGGACTCGAACTTGGCTGAGACACGAAGGAGTTCACCATGGGAATGGCCAGTACCACCAACACATCTAATACGACCACAATTAGGTTAACCACTGGCTATAGCCTTCTACCTTGGCTACTAGGCGTGATTATCGCGCAGTAAGCGAGTGTTTGCTTCGCGAAAGCCGTGCCAAAGCCGTGCCAAAGCTGTGCCAAAGCCGTGCCAAAGCTGTGCGAAGGTAGAATATGGTTTAGTTAGTCCTATGAGAATGCAAATATGCCAAATTTAACATTGTACTTAGTAGATGTAGAGTGAAATTATGTGGTGAAACAGTCAGCAGGAAACTCAAATGATAGAAGGGTATGATAGTAAGGGAACAGGTGGAGGCGACCTAGATAGACCCAATGGAAAAAGCGCTACTGCAACAACCAATTTGTAGTGTTTATAATTGGTCACCATCATACATGGCAGTCACAAAAATCCATCATACGGGTTGCCTAAACAGAACCTACAATTGATGGACGTGATTCGATTCATTAACACATTAGCACAACTTAAGCTTCATCTTCTATTTTAACTTCAGGTTCTTTTTCAGCTTCATCTCTTTCTTCAGTTTCAGCTTCATCTCTTTCTTCAGCTTCATATTCCATTTCAGCATCAAATTCCATTTCATCATCATCTTCTTCCTTAATTTCAGGTTCTCTTTCAGCTTCAGGTTCTTCTCCAGCTTCAGGTTCTTCCTCAGCCTCAGGTTCTTCCTCAGCTTCAACTTCCATTTCAGCTTCATCTTCCATTTTGATTTCAGGTTCCTTTTCAGGTTCCTGTTCAGCTTCCGGTTCCTTTTCATTTTCAGGTTCTCTTTCAGCGTCATCTTCCATTTCAGCGTCATCTTCCATTTCAGCGTCATCTTCGTTTTCAGCTTGATCTTCGTTTTCAGCTTGATCTTCGTTTTCAGCTTCAGCTTCTCTTTCGGCTTCACCTACATTATCAGCTGCATCTTCCTGTCCAGCTTCAGACGCTAGCAGTTCCCTAATCAAAGGACACTCGTCTCCCAATACGTGTTCATCCACCCACGTCTTGGCCACACCGTGGTAGCCACATTTACACCTGCCAGTTTCCCCCAATAACAGGGAAAACAATTGTTGAGACGGCTTCTCGATCGTGTCAAACACGAAATGAGCATTGAGCATGTGTTCGATGCAAACGTGGGCGATTTTGGAAGGGCCGTGGTAGAGACCACACTTGCCAAGGTGTCGGAACTTACAGTTCAAGTCCCAGCTGCCGCGATGGGCGGCAAAGTGCTTATACCAGTCTTTGCTCCGATAGAAGGTTCGGTCACACACAGAACACTTAAACTGAGTCGGCGGCGGTGCCTTTGCCCCCGGCTGGGTCAAGGGGCACTCGTCCGTCAACACGTGCTCGTAGAGCCAGTCCTTTGCCACGTCGTTGTAGCCACACCCACATTCGCCAGTATGCTTTAGTAAGTCGTCAATGTTGGGCGATCTCGGCACTTTGTAGTCGTCAAACTTGAAGTGTTGGGTAAACATGTGGAACAAGCAATGGGCGGGGCTGCTGAGGGTATTCTTGTAGGTTTTGCACTGGCCAAGCACTTTGAACTTGCAGTTGTAGTCCCAGTTGTTGTAGTCCTGATGGCCCTTCATGTGGACGGTAAAACCTCGCTTGATATATTTACCACAGAGGGGACATTTGCCCAGTTTTCTAACCTTCTCTTTAGGGGCCTTTTGCTGTGTTGCCGGCATGGGTAAATGGTGTAAGCAAACGCGACGCGTCCGACCTCAGCGTCTGACTGGATGTGTCTGCTTGTCTCCGGAGCTAAGCACAACGAATTGTTTGTAATCGTGGCAATCCACGTAGCCAAGGGATAGTAAACTAGTTACCGGAAAGGGGGATTGAATTTGGGAATTACCTTCGCAGATTTCCACCACATAAGGTGCGACCGCGATACTCATAACTGGCAGAGTAACACCTAGATTACTCCAATGAGATTTCACTACCATTGGTGAATAACAGGTACTAGAGGATTCATTTTGACGTTTTATCCCCAATATACGTCAAATTAAGCTTATGTGAGGTAACTGGGGTGTAAAAACGAAGACATGTAACTGCTCTCGTTACTCAATCATCCACACTACCCATACGAAGCTGTTCTGTATCAAGAATTGATATACTAGACTGATAAAGGATGTACTCATTTGATGAGTCTGGATTCTCTCGTAAAAGAGGTGTGGTATGTATAAGTCTATCGATGGACCGTTTGCATCAACCAGCAATGTCAAACGTCTTGTTACAGCCAAACTCGACCACGCACCGCCCCCGGTTGGGCTCAAACCGCTCCAATAGTAAGATATAGGTGCCGGGGTTGCCGATGGTGACGTCTATAAATAATCCGTACACCGAGTTGTCCCACTCGGTGTTCACTTGTACCGGTTCGCCGTTGTCGGCCCCGAACACCAGGCCTCTGATCGCGGGACGATAACTGGTGATGAGCTCCACCATCGCCGTCTGGGCTAACGGAGGCAGGCCCGGAACTATCAGGGCATCATCACTATAATTGGTGACATGGATAGTGAACCGACAGTTGAAGTTCTCGGTGCGGAACCCGATCTTGCACCGGTTCCGGTTCTCCCAATCAAACAGCATTTGCTTGACGAAAAGACCAAGCAGCGTCAGGATCGGGTGGACACTCACCCGCGTCTTATCTGTACCCAGATAGGTGAAGTAGACTTTGAATTTCTCCACCACACGAGGGTCATACGCCAGCACCACCATCTTATACAGTCCCCGGGGTAAATGGTCGAACCGGTAAAGCTGGTAGCCCGGGTTATAGTTCTCATTGGCCACGAGTCTCGCCTTATCGAAAGTTCTAATCGGGAGACCACGATTGGCCCCGTCAGCTGAGAACAAGTGGACGTTGATCATCGTATCCAAACGAGCAGCAAACACCGCCACCACCGCCACAACATCGTCGTCCTTCACCTGGACGTCCCACTGAGGGTTATAGATGTACAGCAGATGCGCCCACAGCCCTCCCAGGTTGCGGAAGTCGAGATTACCATCGAGCAGATGGACATTAGGGTATAGATGGCTCGCCTTGCCAAACTCTAAGGTTAAGCCAACATTATCGTACACGGTAAGCGAGAAAGTCCCCGTGATATTCGACAGAGTCACCATGGTGTAGCTCAGATTAGGCGCCACCACAAGCTTCACCAAGCGTAAGTGGTCGTTGGTCGATGTCTGGGCTTCGCTGGCCCGCACGTACTGAGTGGGCAGAAGCACCCGCTCCCCGTGTAGTGTCTTATACACGGAAAACCCCACCGTATGGTGAGTAGGGCGGGCTAAAGTGGCTGCCAGTAAGTGTGACTCCAAAAACACCCACACCGACAACTCCTCATTGGTGGGGTTGACCAACGAGTACTGCGGGGCATCCAACACGAGGGTGGCGTCGTCCTGGGCCAGGTAGACGAAGTTGACCTGTCGCAGGTATTTAAACAACCGCTTGACGTCCCAGTTTATGTACAAGTATTGGAACGGGCACCGGTTGTGGATGGTGACGAGGCGCTCGCGGTCTTTGGCTCCCCACGGGTTTTTCACCGTGATTTCCTGTTTGGTCTTCACGTAGTACTCGACGACATAATCGTGGTTAGGCGTGAGGTTAAGCTCCTCCCCTAATTCCTTGGAAAGGGCTCCGGTGCCCACGCCAACCGTACAATATCCGAGTAAGTTTTGGCTCCACACGTCATCGAATTCTGGCGGGAGTTGGAAGTGTTTAATCACCACTATTTCCGGCACCCACCCCGTAAGCATATAGGTATCGCGAGCCATATTCAGACCCGCAAACTCGTACCCTTGGCCCATAACTTTCAAGTAGGCCTTTTCAATTAAGGCTGGCCACATCAATAAAGGGTCGGAAAGCAGTCTCACAATAAGCAGTCGTGCCAGTCGTCGTATAAGCGGTAACGAATTGTCCACAGTGACTATCCGCCAACACCCATTAAAGTGAAGTTTAACACGGTAGTTGGTCAGCGGTTTATGCGGTAACAACTGGAGAAGGAGGTCCTGTTTAGATTGCACCAGTAATAGCAGCGACACAAACGAACAGTTTGGGAGTAAATCCTGGTATAAGTCCGATGTCGCCGGAGCCCAGTGGGAGAACTGGATCCTCTGGAACTCGGCGTCCATCTCTTTTGGCAATGGGAGCAATTGGGAGTCGTGGGGCGGTTCACGGTCAAACTCAAGCAGCAGCTCCTTAGCACTGAAATTGAGTAACGGCGGAAGAGTATAGGTCGCTTCATCACTGATTTGCAAATCGCTAATCGCTGAGGCCACTCCGTTCAGCCCCCGGCTCAGACTGGAGGTGTTCAGTTGAAGAGTAGTCACCAGAAGTCTCTGGTTGCGAACGGGAGCGAGCCGCAGCAGCAACCATAGGAGTCGCTGGCTCACGGTATACTGTTTCAGCTTGATTTTATCATAATGGTTCATGCAAAACCGAGATATGTCCTCGACATCGTATTCGTCGCGTGCGAGCTGGTTGAGAAGCTTAATCGCCTGGTACAACGTGTTGAGCGCCTCCTTGGTATTTCCCAAGGCTGAAACAAAGAACAGCTCCTCAATTAATCGGATAACATCGACAAACTCGTCCATGAGCCACGGGTGGGAGCCCAGCGTCAGCGACAGCGGCAGCGGGGCCAGCGGCGTCGGCAGCAGGCGTAGCTGGGGCGACGCCAGCGCCGAGCGGGCGGCGAGGGGGAGCTGGGGCGGCCGGCGCATGCCCAGTCCCGGCGACGACATTGGAAAGGGAGGGGGCTTGAGGGGACTCGAAGGGAGTTTAGCGGATGGCTTGGTTGGAGACGCCTAAGGCGGTGAGCGTTTACAGCGCTCACACTATCGTTGATGACGTCATTGGACACACGTATTATTGAAAAACAAAAAAAAAACGGTGGGAAGCCGAGGGTCGTTAATCGAGCATTTTTTTAGCTCGTGCTGGCGGCATATAGTGAGGCGGGTGCGTGGCCCTAGAAAGGTTGTCTGTTCGACCCCCCTTACCGAAGTCGATGGCCCTCGTCTGTAGTTGCCCACTGTGGGGAAGTGAACGACATTTGGCTGGTTTCAGCATATTCCACTGCAGTATATGGATAGATACCAAAAGAAACTAAGACTCTCGGAACACTTTGTAACCTCTGGGGTGATGGAGGAGGATCTGGGGGTATCATTAAGCGAGAGATGATCGAAGCGATGGGGCGAATACGGGGACTGATACGGGGTTAGACTATTGATGGGGTATCTTGTTGAGATGATGCCTATTCTTTATGGGAACAGGTAACAATATATGAGGAGTTGATTCCAGTGTTCGCACTCGTAGATCTCATTGGAGTAGGGTCTAGTACTGGATAAGAGACCAACGAAATAGCCGATTCCTGGATTGGCTCATTTGTCACATAGACGCATATCAAACGATTTACAAGATTCCATTCGAATTCATTCAAAGCCGAATCGGAGAGCTAACGAGTATCTATTGAGATTTCACGGAGACTCTCTCCCAGCATTCGCACGGTTAAGCACGGTTAAGTGCGGTGCGCGCACGGGGAGGCTGGCTGCGAAACCTGCTTAGGTGGCCTACCAATTCACCCGTATTTGTCCTTATTTCACTGCTGACGAGGCACCATCATCACCAAATGATATGGTGGAAACTAGCGGTGGTTGTGGTGGCGTGGCGGGTGTTCAACTCGCTCTCCCTCGCCACGTTCTTCCAGGCAGACGAGTTCTACCAGGCGCTCGAGATCGCCCATGAACGCGTGTTTGGCTATGGCTACGTCACCTGGGAGTGGCCCGAACACTTACGGCTGACCCTCCACCCGTCAATATACTCGTTGGGGTACTCGTTCCTCCAGGCGTTTAGTGCTGACTCGCGTTCAGCCGTGATTCTCGTCCCCAAGTTTATTAATGCCGCCATCGCTGCCATCTCCGAGTTGATGCTATATAAATGGCTTGGCAACTACGACCCCAGTGTCGCCACCATAACCACGTTGCTTTCCTTGGCTAACCCGTTCAATTGGTACGTGAGCACGCGTCTGTTTGCCAACCAATTCGAGCAGATGTTGACGATGTGTGCCATGGCGTGGTGGCCGTGGTCCACCACTAATACTAAGGGGAAGAAAAGACGTCCATCTCACTTGAAAACGGCATTGGTTTTTGCTTGTTTAAGCTGTATTGTTCGTCCCACTAATGTCCTCTATTGGATCCCCTTTGGTTTAGGTCTTTTAGTGAGGTCACACACCAAAGCTAAATTGGTAGTGGTTACGGTGATCGTGGCCGCAGCGACTTTAGCTGCTTCGGCCGTGATTGACCGTCAATTTTACGATACGTGGACGCTACCGATGATTAACTTCCTCAGGTTTAACGTGGTCAATAACCTCCTGGTATTCTACGGCACTGCCCCCTGGCACTTCTACATCGGCCAGGCGCTTCCGATGATGCTTATGACCTATATCCCGTTATTCCTCTTAGGGTTGGCCAAGTCAGCGAGAACGTCGGCAGAAATGGTGGCGGCGATGGTACTCGTCGTTTTGGGATTCCTGGCCATCGAACATAAGGAAGTGAGGTTCCTCCTACCAATTCAACCCCTCCTCATGTACTTTTGCGGCACCGGTGTCCTCTCAGTGATGCGCAGTCGCTGGTTCAAGCCGGTGATGGCGCTCGTGATCACCGCCAATGTCGCCGTGGGGTATTTTTTGGCCCGAGTCAACGAGCGGGGGGCCATCGCCATCGTTGACTACCTTGCCGACGTCCACCTGTTTGCCATATTGGCCCCGTGCCACCTGACTCCCTGGCAGTCTCACCTCCACAACCCTCAGCTTAACGGGTGGTTTCTCACCTGTAAACCGCCGCTTAATGTCCCGTTGGAAGGGTACATGGATGAAAGCGATGTGTTTTACGCCGACCCTGAAAAGTGGCTCGAAACTAATATGGCGCCTAACTGGTCCCAGCTCTCGCTAGGGAGTAGAAGGGCGTGGCCGACTCATCTCGTGATGTTCCAGGCACTCGTACCCGACTTGGAGCTGTATTTGGATAACTCGCCTTACAGGGAGTGCCACCGGGAGTGGAACTCGTACTTCCATTGGGACGGACGCCGCCATGGCGACTTGGTGGTATTCTGTCGCCAATGACGACTGTAAATAACTACACATTAGAAGCTTGAAATCACCAAACACCAGTGTGATGCAAATCTCACGCCTTCTTCTCCAAATAGCGTGAGTCCCTTTACAGGGTAGACAAAGGGAAAATGAAACAAGCCTACTCATATTTCATCATCATCGTATTGTTAATCACTAAAGCTAGTCATTCCTTAGATGGATTGCCCCTTTTCAAGGAACACGAGGTCTTCCTCCGGGGTATCGTTAAGCTTAGCCATCGACACCACTCCGTTCTCATAGTCGAAAAGAGTCACCACTTCATTGATAAGAGTGGTGCCAATAAGCGTAACGTTACCCCGGTCCTCGGCAATACTCGCGCCAATAGTGCAAATGCCGTTGGCCTTACCCGGGGCTTGGTGGACAAAGCTCTTCAGGTCGATGTCCAACGTCAAGTTACCAAGAGTAATCTGGAACAGACCCGCGGGAGGGTCACACGACACTTCGTACTCCTTACCGACGCGCTTAGCATTGTAGAACTCGGCAATCGGTTCAACAATCGCTCTGGGGAGAAGCGAGTTAGGGGCGCCCGTGTCGACGACAATGGGGTAATCACCGTAGTCAGGAAAGTGGTCGACACCGTTAGTGGTCACTTTAACCACGGGCACCTTAAACGTCAACGGGTCATAGTGGGAGGTCCATTCCGACCCCACTTTGGCGCGGTCGTAACCACCAAAAGTGAGCTTGCCCGTGTCTCTCAGCGTGCTGTACCAAAGCGACGACACCGTGCGTTCGACCTGGCCCGCCGTCTTCAAGTGGTAGGGCAAGGTGTCGTAGTCAGACCCCTGCAGGCGGGCAATGGCAAGAAGCCCTTGCTTATCAAGCGTGGGTTTGTCGATAATACCAAATTGCACGCCTTCCGACTTGGCATTATCAAACTGAATCGTGTCCTTCACAAAATAGCCCTTGCTGGGTGAGGTGGAGCCGATGTAGCCGACGCTTACCGGGGTGGTGAGGTTCACTAACGACGTAGACTCAAACGCCCAGTGGTCGTCATCGGGGAACCACGACCCCCACGACCCGGAGTCAATCATCGGTCTGTAGAGCTTACCCTGCGAACCAAGCCTGACGTCGGCATGGTACTTGCGCCCTTCGTATTTGACGGCAAGCTCAATGACTTTGGAGTCGGACTTTTTCTCCAACGCGGGCGCGTCGTCCTGGGGGGGGACGACTAAAGCCGACGCCACGGCTAAAAGCGATAACACATTGAATACTAACATTTTGAGATAAAAAAATTAATGGAGAGATCACTGGTGGTGTTGTCGTCTATTTATACTGGAGTTTCGACGAGAGGAATAGGGGATTGGGGCACGCCGCTGCGTTTTGTGCCACCCACACTATTTCACCCCACGCGGATTTGTACTCTACATCACGCCTTTGTAACTCGCCGGAAATGACGTAGGACAATAGAAACGTATCAAGACGCAGGTGACGGGAGGGGCGGCAAGGTATGCCAGTTTAGTCCCCAGCTAATGATCTGGGAATGTCTCAGTTAGATCATGGGAAGGTTTAGGTGGAAATGGCCCAAAAAGTCTTGATGGGATTAAATTTTCAACTTGAGATGCCATTACCAACCTAATACGAACCGTTAAGCTTAGATTGAATCTCATTTAAAGCGTTCGGTCAGTTTTGTGGCTAGCAACTAATATGCGTCGGTACCACTATCCCACACCTTCGGCAGGTTGCATTCATCCGAGTCAAATCAACCAACTGAGGGGGGACCAATTTGACTCGGACAATTCGACTCTAACGGGTGTAAAGATTATCCACAGGGTCCCAATCGTTTGGGTAACTTAAAGATCTACTTCACCTCACAAGTTGAAGATGGTTTTGCAATCCGGGGTCAGGTGAAAGGAGTAAGGGGATGCTGGATCAAAATCAAATACGTATGCACATGGTGCTTGCAGCGAATTATATGATTGCATCGTCTGTGGGCAACTTTACCCTTACCGAGTTGATACTTCTTCTGGAACTAAGACCGAAAGAAGCAACTGATATGTACCGTGTGTGGCAGGATGATGAGCAATCTCGAATTGACACTGTGGGTCAAGTAGCATTGAGTGGCAATAGTCTTAAACCAGCGACGTATCAGTGAAGTGTTCAACTTTTGTTCTAGTGGCTGGTCCCCTGAAAACTTACATCCGCTATTAGAACTACCAGGGCTCTAAGGGACTTGGAACCTATGAGGACTCCAAGCGTCTGTTTGAGGCATTATATGGCATAATGAGGGAGGCTGTCCTACTACAGTTGGGAACCAGCAGCTGATGGTTTCTATGACTCACAATTCACCGAAGTAATGAAACTAAGGTTCCTTCTTTTGGGAAAAGACGAGGTTCACCCTGAATGCTTTAAACATCAGGGAAGACGCTATTAAAATCTTTTGCCTTCAACACACAAATGCAAATAGCTGGATTGAATCAAGCTAGTTCAAACCCACCACCCGGCTCTTAAGGCAAAGCGACTGAACTAGACCCAAAGATGTGGGGCATTCTCTGCTTTTCGCTGCTAGTCGTGATTGTCCGCGGTGAGCGTAAGTTTGGAGGCTCGCGAAAGCCCTTGCGAGAAATTTATATGAGCGTGCGAGAAACTGGTGAGAAAGTGCGAGAAATTTGTGAGAAAGTGCGAGAAATTTGTATGAGCGTGCGAGAAATTTGTGGGAGAGTGCGAGAAACTTGTGAGGTGCGAAAGTTCTATTGGAGGGTGCAGAACTATCGGACTGATACTTAATGTTGTGAGGAGACATGACTTTCTACCGATTATATCGACGACGCTGGTGATTTTAGCTCATTATCATCAGACTACTCAAATTGTACCTATAATGGCAAAGCCTAGCTTAGGTCATTAATGGCCTACGTTTGGCCAAATTGGTTGCGGGATCGGGGGAGTCTCACCTGCATACACCCACAAATTTACGAACACGTGAGCTACCGAAAAAGGCTAGACCTCCCACGCCAGAAATATATTTGCCGTTCTTCCCCACCGCCGCTTTGCCATGTTCCGATTCGTGCCCCAAATCGCCTTGCGAGCTACCAGGCTCCCGTCATACCCAAAACATGTCCCCTGGAGACCATTCGCCACCACCAAACTTCGTCTCCAACAGCACATCGACCCCCAGCAGCAGAAACAGATGATGGACACCATGAAGAAGCAATACGAAGATAAGCACCCGGAAGAGGTGGAAGCGATGGAGAAAGAGGTCGAGGAGATGTGCCAGCGGGTCCAGTCGAAAATTGACGAAACCCACTACATCTGCGTCGAGCAGAGGGCCAGTTTCCCCTTACCGTCGGACCAGGGCGACCAATTAAAGCCAGCGCAACGGTACCTGATCATCTACAAGTATATGCTCAACGAGTTTGTCAACCAGTGTGGGATGAGCCAGCAGCTTGGCCACAACCGTCCGCCTCCGGATAAATTGATCGAGGAGATCTCGGAGACGTTTTCGGCGCTCCACCCTGATGTTGAGCCCATCACCTCGCACGACATCCTTCCGTATTTCCATTTGTACTGGGCGGTAGCCCACGATATCTTGAAACCGACTGAATTGGTGTTCCAGGCCCCTCCCGTGGAAGAAGTATGGAAGTTAAGCCAACAAGGAAAATCGGCCGAGGAGACTACTCAACTGACGAGATTGGACGCTGAAGTGGTCCAATCTTGGTACCAAGTCTTTGACACCATCGCCCAGACGCCTAAGGCCTCGCCGCTGAACCCGTTGGTGTGTCTGTTATGTCCCGTCGAGTTCAGCAAGATCCTCGCCTGTCTGGAAGAGATCTACGGTTTGCAACAGCGTCTTGCTGATTTGGAGAAGGAAGTGGTGGAAACCCCCGCCGAAGGTGACCTTGAACGGTTATTCTACTTGGTCGGGGTCCACGAACGGTTCGACGCCTTGATCCCCGAACTTGGCGTTAGCGACAAGTCTGAGGAAAAGAAGTGAATATTGCATAGCCCTATATAGTGAGAAAGCCAGAGGACGCTTAACTTAGCATTCCTTCAAATACACTAATTATGAGTAGTTGTTGTCTCATCAGTAAATCATTCGTAGCACCGACTGAATTTACCAAATTGCGTTGCGCTGCCGTTATTACACAACCAACCTCAACTCTATATGATTGTAGGTATAGTATGAAGACATAGAATCAGATTCTCCCTTCTTGGTAGTGATGTCACCGTGTGCCTAATACTTTCGGTGTGAAAAAGGGATCAGGTGTAGCCTCTATTGTTGCTTCCCTAGGGCAGCGTTCATCATGTTGGCGTCGCTTTCGGCCTTTGCCATCCACCGTTTAATCAAAGCGTCGTGCTCTTGAGTCAATTGCTCGAGCTTTTGCTCCGTCACTGAGAGCTGCATTTGTAGGGCCAAGTGCTCGTTATTCACCACTTCGATCTGGTTGTTTTTCTCCTTGATCTCCAACCGCAATTGGCTGACTCGCTCCGTCAATTTTGCCGTGGTGGCTTCAAGCTCCTTGACACGGGCGGCGTGGGCGTCGCGGTCGGCGGCGATTTGGGTCACTTTAGCTTCATCGTATACTGGGTATGGGATCGCCGCTGCCTCGGGAACCGTCCTCAGAAGAAGCTGGGTAAACGCTCGATAGTACGTGCTATCTTGCTGCTCTATCCGGTCCCGCCGGTCAAGCTTTTGGAGCACATCCTCCGCCCATGACATGGTGCGATAGAGCCACTACCCAAGGGCCGGGAGTGCGACCAACTGTGGGGCTGACCACCACGACTTCAACGGATAAATTTGTATCAATTTGAGGTTTCTTTTTCGATCGAGTTTTGTGGTGGTTAAACGTGTGTTTCATCGACGTGAATGGAAACTATAGGGTATTTATGGCTTACTTACGGGCTCCACTGATGACTGTCAATTGAGGAAATTGCAAGAGAGAATCAAATTGTTGGGACAGTCATCTACTCAATTGGCTACTCAAATCACATAATGAGTTTATCAGCTGAAAATTTCCGTTATTGTTTTGGTAATTTGGCTTATTAAATTGCTAATAATTGGCGGGCGTGAGCACGAGGATGCCCCCTGCCTCACCATCGACATATACGAGGCATGATCACCAGATTAGGGTGAGCCATGACGTCGCCATGTTTCTAATCGCCGTTGACATGGCATTTTGTACCAGTGTCGGCACCCACTATTTTGGTAAGAGTTCTCCTGGCAACCCCCTGTTTTGAGGAAATATGTCGCTACCGTCTCGGCTACGCAGCTCGTCTCCATGACGACGCCCACCCGTCACAAGCTCAAAAGCGGAACTACCGTGACACTGGCAGCCAAACACACATTTAGTAGCTGAGAGAATTGATTAATTAATGATTCAATCATTATAGTCCATAGACAACACGTGTAAGGTATTAATTAGAGGCCTGGTTTTGGGTCAATTGTGTAATTATCGGGAGTATTGGGTAATCGTTGCACTACCCGGACTTACTAAATTCACTGCAGAGGGGTGCCTACTTGGCAATCTGCAGTTGCACCTGCCAACGTCACACCAGCCTAATGCCCTCGCTAATCTTTATATATGGAATATACCTCGCCCCCCTCCAGTTTCGGATCCCCTCTCCAGAATGACGTGAGTTTCATAAGTTGAGTCCTAAGCCCCCTCCTTACCTGATTTTTCCCTATTGCTGGGTCAATTCTGTGTCTGTGTTGGCTAACGATTTGTGCACGTGACTGTGACTGCTCTCACTGCGAGGGCTACCTTATCACTGTACCTACCCTACAGCTACCAACAAACTTCCCATAATTGCGTCAAATGGACTCGGATGCCGAGCCTACCAGGTCCAAGACGTTTGGCTGGTCCCGGTCGCCGTCGCAGCCGTCGTCGCCGGCGCCACAGCCTCCGCCAGCCCCCGCTCCAGAAACCCCCATGGCGCACGAAGCCACGCCTCTGATAGCCCCAGAAACGGGCACAAACCCTCCCAACATCTGGGTATCGCGATGGAGCGTTGTCCACCAGGCAGTAACGTCGTCAAAGCTCTGGCCGTTTGCTCCTCCGCCGCCAGAATTGGATGAAGACGACGATATGGAAGTGGTGGCGCATAACCGCCACGCCGACTTGAGGGAAGCTCGAGCAGCAGTGGAAGCTAGCGTGGCCCCTCTCGTATACGCCATTTCCCACAATTACCGCGACGGCCAGTTGCTGCACTACGAATTGCTGGTGACAGGCACCCAGCTGATGACGACGCCCATCCGCTACCTGAGGGCGCTGAACACCCCCAAACTGAAGTACGACGATACTAGTCTTCCGGGGCAACAGATCACTGCTACAAGGGGGGCTAGTGAAGCCGCTAGCGGGGTCAAACCGGACCCCATCGACGCCCAGTCGGTGACGGACGCTGATACCAAGACCAAGGTTGATTCTACGGCCAAGGCAACAACCGACGCGAGTACCACGCCGATAATAGCGCCGTCGCTTAACGAGCTGTTCCGCCTAATCAGTGCCGCAACCAAGTGCCGGTTGTGGTTCCAGGACGCGATGTACGGCCCCCACACCCCCGAGAACCACATCTACCTATTACTGACGCCCAAGGCTCCGAAACAGGTGGTAGTTGTGGCGATAAACCAGTGGGTACCGCCGAAATACGCTCGCCGCTTCGCCGGACCGCTGACGCTGGCGTCACGCTTACTTGAAGAAACCCTCGCTCAAGTCAAGGCTATAGGAGCTACCGAGATCACGGCCATCGCCATTGATGGCCTCGATACCATTGATAATAGTGTCACCCACGTGATGCTGATGCTAGAACCATGGCACCCCCAAGTGGCTCAGGCAGACCTGGTGGTGGTGGTTGCTGCTGGCGGCGCCGCTGCCATCGCTGTGAAAACCGTGGCAAACCTATACGATAAGGGCGTGGTACTGTCTAGCCAGCTGGTGGGTGTAATCATCGCTGGCGGCTACCTCTGTGGTCCCCGTTTAAGCCTAGACCTGAGACGAGGCTATTCCCCTGTGGAAGCCGACGTCATCGAGCTGTGGTGCAAAACTGCGGTAACCGAAGACATTGCCGTGATTGTTCGTCACCAAGGTAAAATCACCTTGGTTTGCGACCCCTACGACGATATCGTCGCCCCTGACTCCGCGTGGGCCACTACTTGGAGCCACCCTCACATCTACCGGGTGCTTATAAGTCGCCAATCTGGTCGGTTAGCGTGTCAGGTGATGAAACTAGTGGCGGTGCTCCGTAATCGGGGCGTGGCTAGTGACCACGGCGTCGTCTCGTCCTTATGTGGCGACGTCAGCGACGTCGGCAGCCATCTGTGGCTCGTCACCGACGCCGACGCGCTACGGGAGTGGATCAAAGCCGGGCTCGACCACGTGTGGACCACCACCAGCGTGGTCAACCCGCAAAACCACTCGCTCCACGTGGTGAGGCCCCCGGTCTACGAGTCGCTATTTGACGGCGCCTGGAGCCTAAGAGCAGTGGTGGAAGAAGCGATGACCCAGCCCCATATCCTCGGGGTGAGATACTTAGCGGCGATTGAGCGGGCTCGCCAGCACGAGCTTGTGGCGAATACACCGCCTAGCCGGCTCGCCCAGGCACTACTGGGCCTCCCCGTGACGGAGATCGATCAATGGTGGACATAAGCCCAGTGGGTGGCGTGATTTCGTTCCATATTCATGTGCCACCGGCTCAAAGCTTGGTTGTTTAGAAGTGGCCCTATTTTGGTAACGCTACCATGGGTCTAAGGTGTGGCAACGTGGGACCGTGGGACCGTGGGACCGTGGGACCGAGCAACGTGGATGGTAGCGCCGCGCGCCGCTGTGTCTCGATTGGGGTACTTTGAGGATCGGTGCTTCCCTGTGGTCCGAGGCTCGCACTACTGCGATATCGCCGTTCACAGAGCTTTTTGATAGTCAATGGGGCGGTTGCCGGGGGCATTGTGTGCCCCACGCCCGATAACTCCACGATCCGGGGGGCGGGTCATGCAACCGAGGGCTCGCCGTTGCCTTGTCTCCCCGTCGCACACCCCCTACCCCCCCGCCACCGCGGTTGCGAGCCCAGGGACCGGGGGGCAGCGACACTATCGATTGATGTGAGGGAGAAACAAGGGATCCCCGATAGCGGCCGCTAGTGGCGTTTCTGGTGTCAACCCAACCGGTTATGTAAGCAGCAGCACCCAGTGGCACTGATATGGCACGGCCCCGAGCGAAAGCCAAAGCTACATCACCACCACTACCAGCTTTCTCCAGTGCCTCTATATCCCTATAATGTTATAGTCGTCGTGGTCGTGTCCCGGAGACTTGGAGCCCGCTGGTCGGTGGCCGGTGGCCGGTGGCCGGTGTCGCCGCCCGTTGCTAGGGCTGCCACTGAGCGGCGATGACCTGGGATAATATCGCTGCACGTGCCCGCCCTGCCGACGCATCACCCACGTCGCTCACCTGAGAGCGATGGGCGGTGGGCGGACGGGGCCTCTTTTTGGCTATATGCAGGAGCGAACCCTCCCAGCGAACCTTTTTTGTATCCCCCCATCAGCCTACCCGCTGCGAATTTCATCCCACCACCCCTGCTGCAAACCCTCAGGCTCCCCGCGACAAAGCCCCCGCAAAACCGCCCAAAAACTACCGCAACCACTCGTCCCGCTGTCTTTACTGCCTAGCAAATCGCTACCAATTAAGTTACCTAAGTTACCCGACTTCCTCCCGATACGGCAGCGCGATGAATGACGACACCCCTCCTCTGGGTCTGAAGCGGACCCGGGCCCTGGGCGACGTGTTGGAGTACTTGCTCCGCGAGTTCGCCCGCAACCAGAAGCCGCCGCCCGACCACCGCAAGAGCATCGCCGCCCACACGGGGATGCTGGAGAAGGCGGTGCGGATCTGGTTCCAGAACCGGCGGGCCAAGCTCCGCAAAGTGGAGAAAATGAAAGGCACCGACTCCACCGACAATTCTCAATCTGGTGCCATCAATGCCAATACTACCAACGGCGCTGGTGCCCACTTGACGCTGGCACTGCTCGCGGTGCACTCGGACTCCTCCGTCGACATCAACGGCAAGTACTCGCTCATCGACTGCCTGCTGCTTTCGGTGGGGCTCTGGCAGCGCGTCAAGACCGGTAGTTTCGACATCGACCTCATGAAGCAGCTGTTCGTCAACTTGCTGCCGCACGTGGTCAACCTGATGATGGGCGACGGCGACTTGCTCGTGATCCTTCTGCGGAAAAACTATGAAGTCAACTACTTCTTCCTGGCCATCACCAACAACTCCAAGATCCTCTTCCGCATCTTCTACCCGGTGTCGCTGGTGGTGCAGTGCCTGGTGCTCAACAACCACATGGGGCTGGCGAAGACGCTGTGCGAGCTCCGGGTGGTACTTTCGCAACAGCCCAAGTTCCTGGTGTACTTCTTCAACCGCAACCACGCCCTGACCAACCAGTGGCTGATTTGTGACGATTTTAGCGAGGGCCAACAAGTATCGCAAGCAGTAACGCTGGGGCTGCGGCTGGCCCTGGATACCACCCCCCACGTGCTTGTGGGGCTGAAGCTGCTGTTACAGTACCTCAACGCGTTTATCCTGGAAAATAACCAGGTGTTGGCGCAGACGGTGGCCCGAGGGTTAAGCCAAGTGCACATGGACCCCCCGGCGGTGGCGGCTCCGCTGGCGCCGCTGATGGCGCCGCTCGCTGCCTACGACGACATCTTGGGGCTCTGGGACTCCGGCGCGGGCGCCGGACACATGCCGCCACCCGAACTCACCCTGGCGCTGGCGCCGTCGCTGACCACCAACGCCACAGCGGCGCCGCTGGACCTGGACACCCCGAACTTCGGCACGATGATCCTCCACGGGCTGACCGCCGACGACATCGCCGCCAACCTCGACTACCTGCCGATGTTGGCGATGGACGACAACATCCTGCCCCAACTGCACCAGCTGACGTTGGCGCCGGCGCCGATGGGGTCGGGGGGTTTTGAGGCGCTGCCCGACACTCCTGAGTTCCTCGCGTTTGACCCGCCGCTGGCGGGACTGGCCCCGGCGCTGGAACTGCCGCTGGTGGGGCAACTCGACCCGCTAGCCGCCGTCACCGCCCTACCAGCCTACACCCACACGGGGTCGCTGACGCTGGGCGACTACCAGGCGGTCGACGTCGAGTTGGACATGGCGCCGGTGGCGGCGATGGAGCTGGAGCTGAACGCCACCGCCACCAACAACATCGACAGCTTTATAGATTTCGGAGGTTACTAATGCTTATACTCTCTCTAGACCGGCATTGACCCTAATCATCCACTACATATTCAATTCACCTTTGCATTCGGTATTCCGTTAACTTCCATCTTGTTGAATGACGAGTATTTACAATTAGAACCTTTTTAGATTCACAAGAATCTCTGATTCACTCGAGTGTATTTTGATCTAACCATCGAGTCGGCTCTACATTATGAGTAAGCCATGATACTTCGTGTGGTCGGCTGACTAGTACTGATTTCATATGGAATTTTCTTCTGATTTGCTATTTCACTTGATTTCACTTGATTTCACTTGATTTCACGTCTGTTTCCCTATTTCCCTGTGTGGAATGCAAATCACCATCGCTCCGTGGGGGTTTGCCTATTTTAGGTTTTGGAGTTATACGCTCGTCGGGTCGACATGCCCTGCCTCGGTATTCGCCTCGGTATTCAAATGTAGTATACGGCTACCAGCAAACCACCTTTCTTCCCCTAATCGTGGCAATCTAGAATGACGAAAGTGTCTGCCAAGTAATTCACATTACAAACCACATCCATTTCCTCTCATGGGTGTGTTTTCCCTTAAAGGCCTTATCTCGGGCGGTCTCGTTGACAACCGGTAGAGGGTCGCGGCCTCGGCATCATATCTCCACCGTTGGCGGGTGCTGGCCCCACCTCACAGTAGGATGATTAATCATCAGCAAAGCGTTCTCCGGTATGTCCGACCCCTAGTGCTGAATGCTGTAATTTCTCTACCAAGGATTTAAAAAGCGGTTGATTCTACGATACTTATAAACTGGAAAAGGCATTGTCGTTTAGGTTTGGTGTCGTTTAGGTTTGGTGTCGTTTAGGTCTAAGTGCTAAGCAACTGTCGCTAGCCAATCCCTGCCGTGTCGGGGGCACCCTGGAGGGACCCTAGATTGGACCCTAGGTGTTTGTAGACTCAGTGGTTGTGATGACACCCGCAAGCCTTGATCCGGAGACGCCCGTACGAGTGAGGGGAGCATCAATAAAAGACAATACGTGAACGGCGGGTGGACTAACCCTCACAATCGAGTGGTGACGCAGTTCACTGACACAGTGTCACTGGGGGCGGTGATTGTCTGATTGGGGGGCGGGGAAAGTGGTTACGGCGTATCCCTTGTTTTCGTAAGCCTCTGATAAACGGGGGCTAGAGGAATGGTCGAGGGGCCAAGAGCTCGCAATGCACTATCGATAACCGTATAAGCTTTAAGGTTTGCGGCGACGTTAGATGACTGGTAAACGACCAAGGCATGGACTACACAACTTTATTTGTTTTCTATTGTAGTGTTTAATCTACGGCTGTAGTGTGGCTTTTGTCCATTGAATCAAAGCCTCCTCCTCCTTTAGTCATGTCTCTTTTGCAAGGAGTGATAACGAGGTACTAGGAAATGGAAGTTACTCTTCACAGTGTCAAGAATTTAAGCCCCAGCAATTCAGGCCTCCGACACCAGACATAGAGTTTGCCGTATACTCCCAGAACCGAGGATAAGCCTAAGGCGTTTGCCTAATTTCGTCTAGTCGTCAGCAACCTTTGAAATCAGGGGATGTAATCGTTAAGTTGAGAAAGCCACTTAAAAGATTTCCGTTAAGCAATTGATTTTCCTTCGTTTCCACAATACAATCGTGACGGAATCGTCACACAATTGGTTCAAAATGATCCATCGCAATTGATGTCAAAATGCCTTTAAATTACATCAATTGAGAGGCTGAAGGACGAAGTGTGGGTCTTCCTACGAAAGTATGCCCATTTCCTCAACAGCATCGACACTTGCGGACTGAAATAAGCCAGAATAGGCCAAATTCTCCGCAAAACCGACTTAGGAAACGGCTCCCACAACGACCATACCGTAATTGGTGTCACCAGCGGACTTCGTGGCCCAGTGGTTAAGGCGTGCGACTGTTACCTTCTCAGCGGACATCGCAAGATCGGGAGTTCAATCCTCCCCGAGGTCGCATCAAAGCTTACTTTTTTGACCACAACTTGTTTATTGACAATATCGCCTTGTTATTCGAGCGCAACTCGGTTTGCAGAGATGAAGAATACGGGGTAAAATAGCCCGACCGGCTTTGTGGCCGGATTGTTCCCCATGTTTGCTGCGTGCACGGTGTCTCGGAGCCGCCGCCGATTGGTTTTATCAGTATCCATCTAATCCCCAGCCCCTCCGACACTGGCTTTTATTGGCTGGTTACATTGTGACGATGCTGATCTATTGAGTAATGACAATCCCCTACAGTTACCCTATTGCGGCAGTTGACGGGTGGATGATCTGGGGATACGGAAACATTTGCTTTCATGTAAACGGATATCTGACTCAAAACAATGGTGGATATAGGGCCAAGAAATGAACAAGGGATTCGTCATGGCGATTGTGGTGTCGGCTAGCAATTTGCGGTTCACCGATGGGGGTTGATATGGTCTGGGCTCGAACTCGTACCCCATAGGCCAAATCGGGAAGGCGCCGCACGCCGCACGCCGCACCACCATCATCGAAAATTGGGTCGTAGTATACCGTACGATTATGAGTCTTCGTCTACTCCGATGGCTGTCGACAACGGCCACAACCAAGCGACCCGAGCTTCTACAACTTCTACCGAAAAAGAAGACCCTCAACCGGGTACTTTTTGATAACGACGCCAACCTCAGCTACCGCAAGGCGCTCCCCGTGCTCACTACCATCTACGATAACCTCGACACCCCTGAGCGGATCCAGCTTGGAAACGTCAAGGCGCACGACCTCATGACGTTGAAACACACGCTTGCTTCAGTACGCCAAATGTCAAACACCATCAACCCCCATTTGGTGAAGTTAGAACACGAGCTTGTTGAACAAGCAGCCGAACGGGGAGACAACGACGCCATCGCCATGCTTGCGTTTGATACCATCACCAAGCGGGCTCAGGATAAAAACTCAGTGGATGACGATGATTATAAACATGCCCAGCGGTTAGTGAAGCAATTGACGGAGATCGACCACTGTCTTACTTATAAGCTTGCTGGCGACTTAGCGTTTTCTCAAGGGTACCACCAACAGGCACGTGACTACTGGCACCGGTTTGTTGAGCTCGAGCCAAGTTCGATCCGGTCTAGCCATGTTTACACGCAATTAGGCATCTACTATTTCGCCTACCACCCCGAGCTTGAGCGGGCCCGGCGCTATTTTGAGCGCGCCGTCGCTGTGGGCGAAGTCGACGACACCACCGTCAAGGCCCACTATTACCTTGGCCAGTTGTATGAGCTGCTGAACCCCGAGCTCACTCGCTACCACTGGGAGGTGGCGGCGCTGAGGGCGCTTGCCGAGGTATTTCCCTCATTGGGGAGGCTCGAATTAAACATGTTTAAAAACGCTAGCCAGGCGCTTCAATGGTTTAAATTGGGTGACGAGTTGGGTAAAGATATCCAGTGTGTCATGGGCCAGTTCGACTGCTATGTTGCCCTCGGCCAGCCGCGCGCCGCGGTGGCGGTGGTGGAGAAGCTTGAAGGTATTCGCAGTGCCATTAAGCGCGCCCGCCGCCGCGCCGCCACTCAGCCAGCCGCCACTACCCCCGCGGCGATGGCGCTGGCGATGGCGACCAATGACGCCGCCCTCACGGCGTTTTTCACCTCCCGTGACGCCACTATAAAAAAGGCGATGGCGCAACTATAACCCCGACACTCAGAGGTTATTTGCCTATATTCGTCACTTTAAATAGGAGTCTATGAAGGGCGCCATTCTCCCCATACGTCCCACGCGGAAGGCGCCGACATTTCCCTGCGACCACGGTCCGAGATTGCGTCCGAGGACGCGTCCGGGAATCGCATAAGCCACAGGCGGTGGCGGCATCGCCTATGATGTCACTCAATTGACTCATAGTGTCAGCGGTTTCAGAGAAAGCTCCGTCTTATCTCCGTCTCGCGGCTCATCGTGGGGCGCGATGCGGGATAAAACGGCGTGTCACATGTACATAATGTCGCTGACCTCTTTACATCATAAGGTTATAGATTAAGGATTGAAAAAAAAGGCCCTCAATTGCCACCTTTTAGTAGTGTAGCCTATCTCTTGTTTTACCCCATGTTTTATGGGTCACGTGGGCGCGTGTCTCGACTAACTCCGAGACCGCGGCTTCGCTAATAGAGAGTGATCGCTTGTCCTACCGTCTGGGGGATCATCACCTAAAATGGGCGTTTTTGTCCTTGCTGGCCGAGCCCGGGCCGCCTAACCTGATGACACTATTTATAAAAGGTTCCAGGGCTCGCAACGCAGCCAGGAGACATTATGAGCCGCACTCGACCGAGTATCTATCACTCATCCTTAAGAGTCACCGTCTTTCAATAGTTGTCCATTAAACCAAAAATGACATCCCGCAAGGTACGTACCATGCCCTCCCCAGACTGCATACTATACCACATTAATCATCGATTGATTACACTCTGGTTTTGCTCGCTTTCCAGGCCATTTCTGGGGTCATTCAACCATCCATTCTCCACCAGCCACTAACGAGTATTTAGCGGGCTCGCCCAACAAAAGTGTGCACGTTTTGCCGCCGGCGCAAAATCAAGTGTGACTTGGAGCAGCCGTGTTCCAACTGTGTCAAGTACAACAACTTGGAGTGTGTGTTTGAAGGGCTCCCTCCAGTGCAAACGGCCCAGCTCGCCCCGGAGCCGATGCTGCTGCTTGTGCTGGAAGTGAATGTTTTAAAAGCAAGGCTTCGTCAGTTGGAAGGCCAGGTCACTCATATTCCTCAGCAACAACCGCTGCTGCCCGGAGGCCACCCGCACTCCCACCCGGCTAACGCTAATTCGACGAATACCGACCCGCCGTCGCTGACTGAACCTCAAGATAATCACCTGCCGAGAACGCTGCTGCTCGATACGATAAACTTTCATGATGGCTATACTCTGGTGTACGACTACGAGCCGGTGAGACGACGCCATTATAGCCCTCTTCAGTGGATCTCGTTGATCAAAGTCGACCTGAGCTTGGCGAAGTTATGGGATTTCATCACCATGCTTATTCCCCCGCCGATGCAGCGGCTTAGGCAACCGCCGATCATCAAGGATAACCGCGACGAGCTGCTATTCCACGCGAAGACTCAGGACGAAGTGGGGCTAAGCGACGTCGAACCGTTCTCGCAAAGAGCGTGCGGCACCGATGAAGCGCAAGTGTACCGTGATAAGTTAAGGGAAAAGGCACGAATGATGGGTATTTCCTTTTTCGAAAACGGCTTTGATACTGAATTGTCATTGCTTGATAAGATCCAATTAGTGATGCCCCGACGTCGTGTGGTGTGGCTCTTGTATAAACGATGGTTCCGCAGTCTCTATGTCCACGTCCCCATTGTCGATGAGCTTGCGTTAAAGGCAGAATTGGAACGACTCATTGGTCCCGAATCGGAAGTGGATGAATATATTGGCAAAATCACCGCTGAAAAACGACTTGACTTTGTATTTTTGGGCCAATTCCTCCTCATATTGAGAATGGCCTACCTCTCGTTATTCACTAACAGTATGACCACTTACGAAGGGCTGTCCACTCAGGACTTGGAATATCTTTTGGCCAACCCCGTCGACATCGATGCCGCCCAAATCGCCGACCAGTGCCTCAGCCAGTTTAATGTCGCCCGTGCCATCAACTTTAATATCCTCCAATTGGCAATGTTGATGCGTTATTACCGTATCTACGCTCCCGAAGAAGGTGACGGCGTCGACGGTGGGGAACTGCCAGTACTGATAGCCATGCTTGTCCAAATGGCTAGAGGTTTGGGTTTACACCGAGACATCGAGATGCTCCCGGATAACCCCCTCGGACCCCGTAAAGTCCATTTGGGACGCAAATTATGGTGGTGTCTTGTCGTTCTCGACTATAACTTACGTCTTCAGGACGGGACCCCGTGTCAAGTGAGCCCTGAGTCTTTCGATACTAAAGTGCCCTGGTACACCGCCGAACTGAAAAATTGTGTCAACGCTGACTTGGAGAAAGCCGCCATCGGGTGTATCGCTGATTTCAGTGCGGTGATGATCCACATCTATGAAGTGGTGGGGATGATTTCTCGAGTTAAAGGCAATGTCCACGTCCACGAATTGAGAGATAAACTCCTTATGCTTCAAAAACATGTCGATCTGCAGTGGTTCCTGATCCAGTTCCTGTTATCGCTGCAATTATACGATAACTCTTTATCCCTTGAAAAGACATTTATGAAAGTTTTGGGCATTGGCGTCTACTTCAACAACACCTACTTACTCGCGTCAGTGTGGTTTGTCCTTTTCAACTACTACGAGCTGCGATGCAATAACGAAGTTGCTTATTGGCACTTACGCGAAGTGATTCAAAAAGTAGTATGTGACATGATGCCCTTTTACGATGGCGTGTTAAACCGAGCCACGGAGATCTTTAGCGATACCACTGACTTATTCGTCATCCCGCTGTTTGAAAACATCCACCACCAAGCAATCATGGTGCTTCTTTCGGTCTACGTGCGGCTCCAATTCACCTACCGCCGGCTATCAAGAAACGCTGACCACCAGCAACGCCTAGCTCAAGACTCGGCTTACCAACAACGGATCCAGCTTCTAGAACTGACGCTGCTGCTTGTACGCCAGTGCTTCGACACGTTCTTGCGCCACATCCTGAAGCTCGCCAACCGCTACTACTACGCGTGGAGAATCTACCGGGGGCTGCAGAAGTTCGAGCAGGCGATGGACATGGACGTGTTCTACGAAAAGTACTTGGACAACGTTGATTTCACCGATTTCAAGTTCAGCAACGAGATGCTCGAGGAGATTAACCGTATGCTTTCCGGAGTGATGGAGAAGGTTAGCCGTCAACGAAATGCGAAAAAATCACGGCCAGAAAGACCGCTGCCAGTGGCCCTGCTGGCACTGCTGGAAGAGAGACAGCCGCTGGCAGATACCGACCAGATGTGGTACCACTTATTACGGGAGAAAGATGAACGCCGTAATGCTCAGGCCAACTTCGACGAGTTTGCGCCCATAGCCCAGTTACCCGATATCGATTTGTTCATCAACGGGTACGGCGTCGATGCTGCTAGAGTCGATTTAACCGATGTCCTTGAACTTGACTTTGGTTTCACCTAATTGATGACATAGGTGGTGATGACGTCATTGCCCCGTTTAACATAGAGCCATTCCTGGTGGTGGCTCAGCACTCGAAGAATGCGGAAATTACCAGTTTGCAAGATCGATGCCGCCACTGCTTTCGGCACTTGGTCCACAACTGCCAATTTTAAGTCGTCCTCGGTGATCAACTCGGTGGTGGCTTCGGGAGGCAGATACTGACACAAAAACGGGTCCACCGTCTCCGTAAGCGTCAGCGAGTTAAGCAACACAAGACTGGCGTACTCGTACACCGCTTCGTTGTCGTCGTCGTCGTCAATTTCTGCCGTCAATGGCAGAAGATTTTGGACGGTAGACGCCGTAATAGTCCAATTGATCGGGGTTTCCGGGGTAGAAGGAGATAGTAATAAATACTTGCATTCGCCAAATGCCACCGATAACACGTATTGCAATTGTTTAGCCCATTTGGTGATGGTTATTTTCCTCTTATAGGTAGCTCTTTTAGCCCCGTGGCCCTGTTTAGATCCAGACACTTGTTTTATGGTAGCGCCTTCGATTTTGGGAATTCGGTGGAACGTACCATCATCCACCACAACCACTATATTGCCTGGAGTTACGGTAATCTCGTTTTCTTCGTTGGTGGCGTGGAAATAGCTATTGGCGTCATTCCATGCCTGAGCCACTAAATCGGTAATGGAGTCGGTTTCCCCTAATTTGATGGGCACTGCCAGTTCCGGAAGCTCCGAATTAGTCAACACATCGACTCGGACCACTGGTGGCCATGACGGCGGTGGAGTAATGGCAGTCTTATCATCATTAGTAACGACCCTCATCTCACCCATTGTGGTAATACAGGTGCGCGGCGCATCCATACACTACCATTACCTATTGCAGCACGACAGTTCTATATATTTCGCGATAGCGACATCTCCGGCAAATTGGGAAACAATAGCAGAGAATGACACAATACCCACAGATCAGACAAAAGCAAATCAAACTAGATCAATGGAATCAAATTAAAACCTAATAAATCACTAATTAACCCAAATTAAACCATTTACACCAATTAAGCTACTTCTTAAAAATCATATAAATTACACGAGTAGTGTCCGATTTTTTTCGGCGCGGTGGGGGACAGCCGTCTCCGTGCGGCCTGGCTCCACGTGGGATGCCCTCGTACGAGCGATGTGACGTCTGGCCCAATCGTGTGCCCCGCCGCCTAATCACGACATCGTAGTGCCTCGCGTTACTCCCTCGCGACCGTAATCGATGTTGCCTGCAGACAACACCGCCATAATCACACGATCCCTCCCCTCCATTCCCCGTCAACTCCCCAACCCCTCCCCCATCACCACCCCTATAAAAACCTCTCTACATCAACCTTTTTTTTTATAAAATTCATTTATCTCCAGCGACTGTCTGGGTTAGCCGTTTGCCGTTCTGCCTGCCTCGCTTTCGGCAGTTGCCCCATCGGTATCTGCTGGTGCCGCAAGAGAAACTTTTTTAGTCTTCCGGGGTCCGCCTCACCGCCGCTGCCCCAAAAACCTGCCACTCATTATCCATCGGTATCTCCCCCGTCGGTTGCCAATGCACTACCAGTTCATGGCCCCCTGGGTGCCTCTCTTTGTCAGTGCCGTCGACACCGAGCCCGCCCCGTTTGTCCTGTTCCAGCTCGCCACCGTCGACAGCCACGGATGGCCCCACGTCCGAACCGTCGTCTACCGGGGGTTTTTGTTCGACGACAAGACCACCAACGTCATCTGCTGCACCACCGATAAGCGCATGGGCAAATACCAGCAGATCCGGGCCAACGATCGTGTGGAAGCGGTGTTCTGGTTCCCCAGCTTAAAGCGCCAGTTCCGCCTCCAAGGCCGCGCCCGAATCATCGACGACGACCACCACCCGGCGATCTCGATCCCCCAAGCTCCCAGAGAAGCAGTCAATTCAGACGATGATGATCTGCTTGAGTTGGCGGTGCCGGCGACCAAAGCTACGCCGAATAAGCCGTTGCTGGCGGCGATCGTGTCCCCGTCGCAATTGAGCCAGCTCCACACCAAGGACGACAGCTACACCACGCTCGCCCAGTTCAATCTCCAGCCGCCGCTGGCCCAGGACTGGCACGACGAGATCCGCCGCCACTGGGACAAGTTGCTGAAACCGCTCCGCCAGCTGTTCCGCCGCCCGCCGCCGGCGAGCGATATCACCGACGAGCTGCTACTTTTGATCGACCTGATCAAACGTGGCGTCGACGGCAAAAAGGATACTGCCGGCCTCGTCAACTTCGCCGTGGTGGCGCTCTTCGCCGACCGCGTCGACGTGTTGGACCTCGAGCGCGATAAGCGGTGGGTGTACCAGCTCGACGACGACGACAGCGGCCACTCCGAGGGCCACTGGACCGAGGCCGAGGTGTGTCCCTAGACCGGTCTTAATGAGTTATGAAGAGAGGGGAGGGTTAATGTCATATTATTTTTTCTATCATGGTCTGCTTTTACGTTTTTTCTATCGAATATATATATACACTAAACAATGGCCACCGGTGAGATCGGTGATGTACGGTGTCAAACCTAAATGTCGAGTATGGTTGCTGTCTAAGCCAAAACGGCGCCGGGCTTTTTTTAAAAATAAACCACAAATTGTGGGGGCATGCTCTGGATGGTTCAATTGTTATTGTTTGAAATTGGCGAGCAAAATTACGTTCGCCGATTTGCGGTGACCATTTTTTTGAAATGATGATTACACCACCAAATTGGCAGTAAACAAAGATTTAGCAGTACTATTGTAATCACCTTCGTCGCCACATTTTAGGCGGGGGCACGGCTGTCCCCAGCCCATCGTCGGCAGTGCATCACCACTCCCAATCTGGCACTTGAGGTGCGTGACCTGCCTGCCACACCCCTCACCGTATCTCATAAAAAGGCGGCACCCTGCCCCCCCCCACTTTTAAAATTTCTAACTAACCCAAGAGTTTTCTCCTTCGCCGTTTGTTTCTTCAATTGTACTATGGCAGTCAAAGTTGCCGCTGGCCACGCTAGCCATCCCACCTACGCTGGTACGTTTTATTTTCGTTATCATTGCTGAATGCTTCTATTTGTTATGATCAGAGACCATTACTCCGTTGACGCTTTGTTTGTCAATTTTGACCCTCACCACCGCCAGCCCCTTCAATTGCTTTCCTTGGCTCGTTTCCAATTTGTTTACGTTTTAAGGGGTGGGAGGCAATTTTCGGAGTTGTCGCGTTGACGACACGAGCGAGAGCGGTGTTTGCCTGTCGCGTCACCGAGGAATGTGTGTCTTTGATCTAATCCAAATTGGGCACCACATCTGGCACAATTGCCCAACACATAGACGAACTAACACCGTTTTAGATATGATTTCCGAGGCCATCACCTCGCTCAAGCACGACGACCACGGGTCGCTGCGCCAGGCGGTGCTGAAGTACGTGCAAGACACGTACTCGCTCACTCAACCTGGTTTCCGAGCGCTCTTCAACAATGCGGTGCGCAAGGGGGTCGAGCAGGGCCGGTTTAGACAGCCCAAGGGCCCGCTGGGGCCGATTTTGCTCGTGAACAAGGATAAGAAGCCGGTGGCGTCAAAGACGAGAGCCGCCACCGCCGCTAAACGACCGCGGAGCTCGTCGATGTCAAAGGCGTCGAAACCTAGCCGCACCACTACTCGCAATAATAAACCCGTGGCCACCCCTCGCCGAGCGCTGACGGGTAAGATTAAGGACCAGTCGAAATTGACCGAGAAAGTGAAGGCTAAGAGTGCCACTAAGCTGAAACTGCCGCCTAAGGCTAACGGCACCAAAGCCAAGGAACCTAAGGACGCGGCCAAGTCAAAGACTAAAGATACCACCACTAAGGCTAAACCTACCAAGGCTAAGGCGAAGACGGCACCGAAGCTGAGCCGGCCCACGAAAGCGGCGTCAACGAGAAGGCTGACTCGGGTATCTGCGTGAAGGTTGCGATTTTATCTTGCTTTTCTAATATTACTACTTTCGAGATGATGACGAAAGACGTTTCGCTTTTAGTGGAAGTGAATCGTTTTTTTGTGTCATTCGAAGTGCCAGTTTGTAATTTTGTTTTATGATTGTAATGTATGTTCTTTGTGTGGCGTAGAAGAAATGTCTGCGTTTGTGCCAAGCGCAACCGAAGAGGTACACCGTGGTCACCGTGGTAGTTATGTGGTCTCGTCTAGTAAGCACTAATAAGTTATATAAATCTCATACAATTCTAATCACAACTACAGGTGTAAATATCTAGTGGTGTCCACGTGACGTTGATCGTTCTCCCGAGATCGGTTGTCCCCCACACTCAACGGCCCATTACTAACGCTAAAGTGGTGCAAGACGAACACCTGTGCGCGACATGCGCCCTGACCCCCACTCCTGCATATTGCACTCGTCTCAATTATAGAAAGTAAAAATGTATTAACTATCTAATGGGCCCGCGCGGCTATACCTGCCGCGCCTGGTGACGAACAATAGCAGTCACCAAAAAACCGATAAAAAAACACCATAAAAAAGAACAACCAAAACAGCTCCCGGCGAGACCAGCTCAAACCAGATTATTCTCTTAATCAATAAAGTATTGAGGGTCTCAGCTCAACCGGGTCTTGCACGTGGTATTACACTGGGAGCAGAATAGACTGGTGTGGCCTTCGCCAATATGGGTCCGAATGTGGGTCGCTGAAGGGCACTGGCACCGTCCGCAATGCATGGTAAACTGATAAACGATTTTAATTTGTAAAGATCGTGGGCGCGATGTACTTATATATATTTATACATGTGGGGCGATGGCGGCTGTGGGCCGAGCAATCTTTCGCCTGCCGTTCCAGTCACCATCACGTACATATTTGCATGCGGCCTGGCGGTTGTGGGGTACGCACCGGACGCCCGTGAGTGTGGTGTGTGTGGGTGTGCTGCTGAGTCAGCGCCATTTATCGTCAAAAACGCTGACGTCGCCACCGCCTCTCCCTTCCAAAGGATTTGCTTAATAATCAAACGACTTTTTTTCGCTACATATACGGGGTGCCATAGGGTCTGCCTACGCCTCTCTGATTACCAAGACTTTTTTTTTTGGTTATTGCCAAGTGGTGTCGCTATTAGGAGATCAGACCTCATCGTCGGAGCACTAAGAAAAATAAAATACAAAAAAAAAAAAAGAATCTAGACCAAGTACTGCAGGTAAGTGAGGATCCGACATTTGTGCGACGTTTTCCCCCTCCCTCCCCTCATAAATGCTAGCCACGCTTTCCTCGTGCTTGGCCGTGACTAAATACGCGAATGACTCATAGGCTCCCCCCACTGACGGCGCCCCCACGATTAGCCAGTGACAAAAGTGTTTCACATGGGGACGAGCCTGTAAAACCTTCGTCAATTTAGTAATCGGGATCGCTTTAGTCATTTTCGATTGCCGATATAGCCATTTTGGCGAATATAATCTCTCGGGGTTTCACGGTGTAAATATCTCGGTACTGCCGGTATCATAAGGTTAAGGGGGGGGCACAAAGAACCTCCTTAGTGCGGTTGGATCGGCAGGGATACGAGGTTTTGGCAAAAGCGCTTACAAAGTTGGATTATTTTATCGGGAACAGTTTATTCGTCAAACAAGTTCTATATGCAATTATCGTTAAGTCATTCATGACCAAAGAAGTAAAGTACACGCCGCTAGCGGCAAAAGGTTTTTTTCACTGAGAAAAAGTGATCTAGTTGTTTTCGGGTCTCAACTTTCTCACTTCCTTGCCCACTCTCCAGATTTCCATGTCTCTGATCGTTTGCAATTCCTTTTCCAACTTGTCTCTGTAGTCGGCTTGCGAGTTGAAGTCGAGCGATCTCTGGGTTTCCTTACCGGTCTTAACCGATTGGTACAAGTCTTCGAACACGGGCTTCAACGCGTCCTTGAACACGGGGTACCAGTCGAGGGCACCTCTTCTGGCGGTGGTCGAGCAGGCGTCGTACATGTAGTCCATGCCGTACTTACCGATCAAAGGGTACAACGATTGGGTGGCTTCCTCAACGGTTTCGTTGAACGCTTCCGAGGGGGTGTGGCCGTTTTCTCTCAACACTTCGTATTGGGCGAGGAACATCCCGTGGATACCCCCCATCAAGCACCCTCTTTCCCCGTACAAGTCGGAGTTGACTTCACGTTCGAAAGTGGTCTGGTACACGTAACCGGAACCGACAGCGACGGCGAGGGCAATGGCCTTTTCTTCAGCCTTGCCGGTGACGTCGTTCCACACGGCGTACGACGAGTTGATACCACGGCCTTCCTTGAACAACGAACGCACGGTTCTACCCGAACCCTTGGGGGCAACCAAGATGACGTCGATGTTCTTAGGAGGTTCGACCTTGGTCAATTCCTTGAACACGGGGGAGAAACCGTGGGCAAAGTACAAGGTCTTGCCTTCGGTCAATTGGGGCTTGATCGATTCCCAGGTTTCCGATTGGGCGGCGTCCGACAACAAGTTCATGATGATGGTACCCTTGGAGATGGCTTCGTTGACGTCGAACAAGTTTTCGCCGGGAACCCACCCGTCTTCAATGGCGGCCTTCCACGAGGCACCGTCCTTTCTCACACCGACAATGACGTTGAGGCCGTTGTCTCTCAAGTTGAGACCTTGGCCGTAACCTTGCGACCCGTAACCAATCATGGCGAGGGTGTCGTTCTTGAAGTAGTCCAACAACTTTTCTTGGGGCCAGTCCGATCTTTCGTGGACGACTTCGTTGGTACCACCAAAGTTGATGGTCTTGACACCTCTGGTGGCGACGAAGTTGACGGCGGCAGGCTTGGTGGCCACGGCTCTGGCGAGGGTGGTCATGGCTCTGGGGGCCATCACGGGCTTGATGGCGGCGGTTCTGGCAATCCGGGCAGCAGCTCTGAAAGACATGCTAAATGTGAATTTGTATTTAGTGGATGGAGAGAAAAAATTGGTAGGGGGGGGGCTCGCCGAATTTATAGTGTTCGACTCGGGGGAAATTTTTCAGTTGCTCGACGCGGGGACGAAACGGTGAAAACGGGAAGAAACCAAGTGAAAAAGTGGAGAAAAACGATGGGAAAAACGCGATTTGATGCGACTAGGTGACTACCTCAATGAATTATAAAGGATTATCCTGTTGTTAGCTCATTTCGACCCCGATTTCCACACTATACTCACCCATAACCACTGGTTCCTCCTGGCCGAAAGGTCGCGCTGCACCTCATGTCACATGATGTGGAGACGGTGACTCAGGGTGCGCGGCACCGGGCCGCTACAGGCGAACGTGGCGGGACGTTCGCTTGCAGCCCCGGTTCAGGCCCTCATGCCCGGTACAGGGCGCCCCAGCAACTGCTGTTACCATTATAGCTACCAAACTTGAATATCTTGATGTTTTTCATGCTAAATCACGCCCGTACTGACCATTCTCACTTGTCTACTGTGCCCTAATCTGGCGCCTTTAATTGGGCGGCGAGCGATGCGATCGGAGAATTTGATCGCAGCGTAAACGGCGTCGCCGCTGGGCGTTCATGCAACCTTAACTGAGGCCTATACCGGAGGCAGTATACTGCCGAAAACACCAATACCACACCGCCTGTACCCGGTATAGGCGTTGGTAGTAATGAGTCAGCCCGGTTTAGGCGGTTAGAGAGTGTGCCAGCCAGAGGGAGGGGTCGGCATTAGGGTGTAGTAGAGTTTTATGGAGGTATTGACCTAAAGAGAACATCCAATGATTGATAATTGTCAAAGTAAAACTAGCCTTGAGGGGATGACTGACTTCACATAGTGTGGAGTACATCCTACTTAACAAGAATGATTCGAAAGAGGATTTAAGTCGTTCACCGGTAATCGAGAGAAGTCTGTTTGATTGAACGAAGATCTATTAGAAGCAATACTTTCAAAGCAACGTGCACTATTTATTTCGTATACTCACTTATGGATAATATCGGAATTGTCGTCGGCATTAGGTCTTCGTATATTGATCTGATCTGAAACTTCATTGCGAATACTTTGGAATTAAGTGGAAGTACAAGTTGTTTACGAAACTTTTATCAATCCAATGCTTGTCACAACCAAGGAAATAAAGGATGAGGTCCACACAAGGTTTGAGCTTCTTCAAATTAATTACCATTCATGTAACCACAAGTTATCAGTCGTATTGTGAACTTGAACTATATGATTTGAAGGGGTAAATGGAAAGAATACCAATTCAACTTCACAACTACTAGCAATTTTTTTTTTTTTTTGTTCGTGTCGTCGTATATTTATGCGATGGTCGTTACTCGCGAGTCGTATATATAGTGGATAATGCAGATTTATTCCCTCACGTGGAGCCCGCCGAGCTTCTTGAAGATGGCGTCGATCTGCTGGTGGAACTCGGCGTCGTCGGTGTCGTCCATGTCGCACCACAGCTTCGTCAGCTTCACCAGCAGGATGAGCGTGGGGAGAGTATTGTCAAACGACGAGTGTTGGCGGCCGCCGCGGTCGAACATCGTCGACGCCCGCAGCATGTCGGCGGCAAACACGTCGTCGTCGTGGGCGTCGGCGGCGTAGTTGTCGTGGTACTCGTCGACGGTGAACCCGTAGGCCAGCTTGAGCTCGAATTGCGACACAAACGCCGTCAAGTCCCGCAGCTCGGGGACGACGCGGACGATGGTCAGGGTGAAGGTTTCGTAGCACGTCAGGTTCATGTTAGGGTAGATGTCGTACAAGATCTGCGGCGACTGGCAGAAGGTGCGGAAGTTGGCGTCGTCGACCGTCGTCGGCTTGAATGGCGCCAGGCCAAAGATCAGGGCCAACAACGTGATACCGACGCCCCAGTAGTCGGCCAAAGCGGCGTCGTAGCGGGTGTTCCCCGCAGCGCCGCCGGCGGCCTCGTCAAACATCTCGGGGGCCATGTACTTCTCGGTGCCGACGTTCATCTCGTCGCAAATGCGGTGGGAGGTGGCAAGCCCCCAGTCACACAACTTGAAGTTGCCGTCAAAGTCGTACAAGATGTTTTCCGGCTTGATGTCGCGGTGGTATACACCTTGAGCGTGGGCGTGGGCCACCGCCGCTCCCAACTGAGTGGCGAGGCGGACACACTCGTCGATGGTCAAATCACGCTCGTGGATCAAGTCGTAGACGTCGCCGGCGCAGTACTCAAGCACCAACACCATGTCGCCGTCATCCTCAAACCACTCGAGCAACTGGCACACCCCCGGGTGGCGCCCCACTGCCGTCAACATCTCGATCTCACGGGTGGCCACCAGCCGCTTGGCCACCCGCTTGATGCACACCTTGTCTGCCAGCCCGTTTTTAGCGGCCAACAGCACCAGGCCAAACAGACCCAGCTGTAACTGGCGCAACACTCGGTAAGAGTCCATGCAAAAATGTACTAGTAATAGTAATAACGTGTGGAGGGGAAGGGGAAGGGGCAAAGGCTAGAAGGATGCAAAAAACCTTTTTCTTGGTGGGACGGTTAACTGACAGCGGTTAGGATAGTGGCGGGGGGCTTGGGGGGGCGCTTGGTTATATAGGGGGAATTTAGTGAGGGTATTCGGAAAATTGTGGGTGTTATTTTGTGTGGCGCACGGGCTCGCCACCAGGGGCGACAAACTGGAGGAGAGGAGACACAATGGGATGAGAGATAACGTCAGTGATAGCTGGCAGCGAGATAAAGGGATACCACTGCATAATCTAGATCAAGAAAAGAACATAATAGGCATTACACTCAATTTAACCCTTGAATTATGGTAGTTTTGAAAGCGGGCTGGCCTTAGTAATCGCCCAACTGAAAAGCTGGGGTAGCCTGACTGAGGGGAGTGCTGCACCTCGCCAGGTGGGGTTTTGGTGCGCACACTACTGATTTAGGAATCGGGTGGAATTTAAAAGAAACTGTGGCGAGCGTCTAGAGTGTGGAGAGACTAGCCTAGACTGTGGTGAAGAGTGGCCCCCCGCCACACGCTGGAAAGCAACTAGGCCACAGTAAGCCCGTGGTGTAACTATCATTAGCCCTGGGGAGACGTAGCGTGAGTCATGGTGGCAAATAAAACGTATTTTTGGTGATGCCACGTCGTTCGCGGCATTCGGATGCCTGAATGGGCCGGTGTCGGCGCTGCCGCTGGTTATGGTTGTTTGGCGTTTAAACAGAAATAAACAAGGAAAAAAACACTATTAGCTATAACCGGCGATCACTACCAGATACGGATACACACGACCCCTATCTCTCTACAACTTACCGTTTTTCAACAACGCGTCGATCTTGGGCTCCAACAGCTGGGGCTTGGTAATCAGGCCAAACCGCTCGACCACGGTGCCGTTCTGGTCGATGAGAAACTTCTCGAAGTTCCACTTGATGCGCGTGAGCCCAAGCAAGCCGCTCTTCTGGCTCTTAAGGTACTTGTACACGGGGTCGGCGTTGTCGCCGTTGACATCGACTTTGGCAAGCACGGGGAACGTCACCCCGTAGTTTAATGAACAGAAGTTCTGGATGTCCTTGTCGGACCCCGGCTCCTGGCCACCAAACTGGTTACAGGGGAACCCGATGATTTGCACGGGCTGGTCCTTGTACTTCTCATTCAACTTCTCCAAATCCTTGTACTGAGGGGTGAACCCGCACTTGGAGGCGACATTGACAATCACCACCACCTTGCCCTTGAGCTCGGAGAACGGGAACGGGTTGCCTTGGGCGTCTTTGGGGGCCAAATCGTAGAACTTAGACATTAGGGGGGGCTGGTGGCGTTCGCTATGGTAGCCTTTTTAGGGAGGTGCGGCTGGGGGGGTGTGCCAAAGGTCGTGCTCCAACCAAATTACACCACAACTTTTTACCTGGTTTGATGATTGTAACGGCCCATCGCCCCACAGTTTGCGCTTGACACTGCATAGCAAGCGTAACTTGCGCTTCGGAGATTCCCCGATAGTTGGGCCAGTCTCCGGCCGCTGGTCCGGTGAACATGTTGGCATGACGATCACGCCCTTTCGTATCCCACCTACACTTTGAGTCGATTCGTGTTGACTTTGCGTGTATAAGGGGTAGTCTTTTTATGGTGTATGTGGTAATGCTACGTCGGGACACGCTGCCCACATTCCGGACCGGTATCTCCCTCACAGTGCTTTCCCCTGTCATTTTCCCCTATCTGTAAATAAACGCACCCTTGATCTCCCCTTGATCAGGTAAGCGGCATGATTGTGATAACCCTGCGCCCTCCAGTTAGTAACCCCATCACGCTCTAACCGTCACATCCCGTGTCGCCCGCCTTGGCGGAATCAATTGATGATACTATGACTCCAAAATGACCATTGCTCATTGTCTCTCCTTGCTCTTTGCAGCACCAATCTCCTCCAGATAGCACCATTCCCTGGTTGTGGTGGCAATCTCCCTTAGCGGGTGGGACATCCCTCGCACGAGAGTATAGACGCGAAAGCCAGGGTATGCCGGTTCACATCACCTGTGCAGCCACCCCTACGAAATAAAAAACAATTCGATATTAATTGTGAAACATTCACACTAGCCACTGGGACTCTACCTAGCGGTACTAAGTCCTCATATCAGCATAAACTCCAAACTTGGCAATCAGACTAGCTCGAATTGAAAAACGCTTATCATTTGCCATTGTATAGACTAATTACCATTCGCATTCACCCCCATAATTGACATTGTTTCCGTCGTTAAGTGAGCTGAAAAGCGTTGCCAGGGCCGTTCCCCGATTAACTAAGCAAGATGAGTTCTGAAAAAACCGCTGTATTAACAATGCGTTATTGTCTATTTACAATTCCTTGGTGGTGCCCTCGTACGTTCTCATGCGACCCGTCACCCGATCGTCGGTGATAAGTTCTTGCACCCACTCCGAGCCACGCTCCTTGCCCCGTTCCACCCACTTTTTGGGCCAGTCAAGCTCCTCCTCGCCGGCAGCCATGGTATCCTTAAACTCAAACGGTCGCGGGGCGTCGTTGATCACCACCAACGCCCGTTCCGCCATCGCCTCAGCGAGATCACGCTTGTGGAACCACCGGTAGATCATCCGCGGGAAGTTGCGGAACCCACTCAAATTGGGCACCGGGATCACGTACACCGGCTGCTCAAACACCACGGGGACGCCATCGTCATTAAGCACCATCTGAGTCATATTAAGCTCAGGCGCAAGGGGAGCATTAGCGTAGTCTTCCGTCTTGATGAAGGGTTTAGTCACGGGGGCCTCTTCTTCGAACGGTTGAGTGGGATCAATCAGATCAAGGGTGATCAACTCGGGGTCTTCACCTTTATCCTTAGCTTGGTCTTTAAGCTTCTTCACCATTCTCTCTCTCCGTTCTTGCTCCTCTTGTTCAACAAGCCAATCAGGTTTAGTCAAAGGCCCTAATAACCCTTCGTGGACCCCGTGCAAGTATTCCTTGTACGCCCCACGACCAATACACACCACCCCACCGGCGTGGACGGTGTCTAAAGAGTCTTCTTTCACCACTTTGATCGGTTCCATCACCTTATAAAGACCCAACACGTCCAGAGTGTTATAAAGATCTCTAAGGGGAGTGGTACGTTCTTCTTCCTCCTCAATATTGCGCTTGGAGAATACCCCCTTCACTTTACCCCACTCTCTGGCAATGGTAGCCGACCACAGCGCCTCCTTTTGCTTCTGTTGACGCTCGAGCTCAGCCTTGACCCGGTCGTCAACCTGTTTCTGTCTCAACTCTCGGATCTTTTGCGCCACAGTGGCTCTGATGTCCCCCTGTCTTCTCTCGGAGAAAATCTCAAAATCAAGGGCAGCAGCGTTGAAGAACGGCTTGATGTATTTGCGGAACAATTTCACCGACTCGTCAAGGTAGTCGTCGGGAGGAGGGGCGATGTAGATGGTCAATTTCCGCGGTAACTCATTGGCATGGTAAGTGCGCTCACCTAAGGGAGCAAGCTGGTCACATAACCGCTGGCGAACAGCTTTGCGTTCACGGTTATCGTAATAAATAGCTCCGCCAATCAGCCCCACCACCGTCCAGAAGATGATCCAGTTTCTCAGCGGCAACGTGATCTGCTTGAGCCCCATGGCACGGAATGCCGGGTTCTTAAACACGATCTTGGGCCGCGGCTTCGCCTCAGCTTTGGCGCTAGGTTTCGCCTCGGCACCGTCCCCCTTGACATCAACTTTGGCCTCGGGCTTGGGCTCGCCCTTGGAGTCCCGACCGGGGGTTTGTTTGGGGTCCATGATGGCTGACTCCAGACCTGGTCGCACTGAAAATTTGCCAGACAGTACCCACCCAGAGTGGCAGTGACTAGGACTGGACTATAGCCAGTGATGATCTAATAATTGTGAAGTTTGTTCTATCATTAGCGATATGAACTTGCTACTATAACAATTTTTTCAATTTATCACAGACCTGGCTTGATTTATTTACACTAAGTGCAGCCGCGTTTACTTACTATCAAGTTCCCCACAAATATATTAAAAGTAGCCACTACACCTAACAATCAAGTCACAAACGTTTTACCTTCAACCTATCGGTAACATCGAAGCTATCACTACTCTACTACAACCAATTTACTCACTTTTGCCTCTCCTCCACATCCACCGGCGGGGGTCTTTTCTCACGTCTCATCGCGAATGTACAAATACCTAGGGCGGAACATGAATGGAGTGTTTGCCGTTGAGAAGCCCCTGGGGGTGAGCAGTGCCCAGTTCATCAGCAAGATCCAGACCATCTTCACCAAGTCGCCGGCGTTTCAGGCGGATATGATCGATGCTCGCAACAAGCGGATGGAAGACCTTCTGACGTCACGGTGGTCCAAGGATAAGATCAAAAATAAGGTCAAGAAGTTACAGGTTAAAATTGGCCACGGCGGTACTCTTGACCCATTAGCCCTGGGGGTGCTTATCATCGGTGTTGGCAGCGGCACGAAGAAGTTACAGCCGTATTTGACTCAGTGTACTAAAGTATACAAGACCAAAGCGTTATTGGGTATTTCCACTACCACTGGTGATTGCGAAGGCGAGATCATCACTAAAAACCCGATTGACCACATCACAAAGGAAATGGTGTTGGAAACGCCGCAGAAGTTTATCGGCAACTTAAAGCAGACTCCACCCATCTTCTCGGCTTTAAAAGTGAACGGTAAGCCGCTTTACGAATATGCTCGTGAGGGGATCCCGTTGCCTATGGATAAGATTAAAGTCCGTGATGTCAAAGTGAATTTTTTGGAGCTTAATGAAGACAACATCTTGTCTACTGACCACGAATTTGTTAAGCTTGAGAGTCAATTGGACGAAAACGGGGTGCCTAAAGAACACGGCCTCATCAACAACCCTACGTTGAACGATGCTCAATTATTCTTCTCGGAAGAGTTTATGGCTAAGCAAGGCGATGACTATCAGATGCCTCGCCCCAAACCGCTCGAAGAAGATACTCTTCCGGAGAAGCTTCCCATGGTCGAGTTCACGTCATCGGTGAGCTCAGGTACCTACATTCGCAGTTTGATCAGTGACTTTGGTAAGGCGCTTGAGTCGCTGGCGTATATGGTTGAATTGATTAGAGCTAAGCAAGGTGAATGGGAACTTGGCAAAAACACTTTTACTCTTGAAGATTTCGAAGGCGACTCCACCGTGTGGGGCCCGGTATTAAAGCAAGTTCTCGACGCCGAGCCCGGCACCGTCGATGTTCCTGAAGCTTTGGCCAAACAAGCTAAGGTGGTGGAGGAAATGAAGTTGACAACTGAAGACGATGGTAAGGTTGAGGAAGGCAAAAAAGAAGACAAAGAAGACAAAGAAGAAGACAAAGAAGACAAAGAAGAAGCGGAAAAGGTTGTACCCCAAAAGCGGAAACTTGAGGAATCGGAATAGGAATTTTATAGACAATGATTTTGGTGTACATTTGTAGTTGGAAAGCATCGATGACTCTTTTAAGTTATCAATGAGCTCAGAGTTATCAGACAACGTCAAGTGATCAAGACAAGAAGTCGATCCGCAGAGTTCTGGTGACTATGACGAACTTTACTCACTGATTCAACTTGTAGCTCAGAAATGTTTTGATTTTTGATGGAATCTATTCGCTTTGAATTTGAGGAATATATGATCACTTTCATCTATCTACATAGTTGCCAATCATAATTTTGGTGGAAATTCTGAAAACTTAAATTTATCAGTTGTAAGTATATCATGCGTTTTTGTTAAAAAGCAACGTTTTGTTTGTTTGCCAGGGTCGCATGAAGCTTCACCAAAACTACAAATCTAACGAAGAGTGGTATCAACAGACTCAAATTGAATTCTTTGATGATGTATTCACTGGTTTAGTGGTGCAAAAAGCGAAAAATAGACGTCAGCTACAGGATTCGAACCTATGCGCTCAGAGAGCATGTGATGGTTAGAACAAGATTCTAATCACACTCCTTAACCAACTCGGACAAACTGACCAATCTGACTTCTTTCGGAAACAGCTATATGGTACGATCTTAACTGAACTGCAATATTGCCGCCAAAATCGGTCAATTCTTTACAATATAGAACGTGATTTTGATAGCATTATAACGAAAGTATTATTAACCACGTGAGCGGTGCACATTTCCCAAACCCATAACTTTTAAACCCTATATATACACTTCTTCCATTTCCATACCACAGTCAATGCACCGCCGCTTCATGATTCTATTAGCTTCGTCAATGACCATTGGCGCCGACCAGTCGTGAACGTGACGTTCAACCATGCCTTCTCCGTTTCTCAACTTACGGGTATACTCTTCGGCTCTAGTCTTTTTCCGCATCTCTTTCAACTCTTGTTGGTATCGCTTCTCTTTCCGCTTGAGTTTGACTGCCTGTCGCCGTTCCCATTCAGCATCTAGCTCATCAGGACCGCCCCATTTTTTCCAGGCAAACTCCTCGACTTGATACCGGAGAAATAACTGCATTCGACTGAACCCATGAGGATTAGCTTTCTCAATTCGAGGTAAGATTTTCACATCCTGAAGCTCAGGTTCAGTTAAAAAGTAGTCTTCACGACACTCGGTCTTAGTCAAAAGCGAGTACTTATCACGGTGCTCACGCTTACATTGTTTGCACACCCTAGCATTGAACTTCTCATATAGTTGGGCGTCAATCTCTATCAGATCACATTCAAAGCATTTAGGGGCTGTGGTTGGGTCGATAGGAGGTGCAGGTTCTCGCAACGGCCGTCGCTCTTGCTTTTCCTTCCAGTCTTTCAAAGATTCGCCACCCTCACTCCCTTCTTCATGAGTAGCAATAAACCCCCCTTTACTATCCGACATCGTCGAGAAATCGTACTCAATGTAGTCCTTCCGGCGAATGGGCGGTGGCTGAAACCTCAGTTTGTTCTCAACGAAATCGTGCTGGTTCTTATTAAGGCGAATATTGTCATCTGGTTGAACCATTCGATTCTCAGGAGGAGCAGCAGCAGGGGCCCCAGAACTAGCAGAAGACGATGCCGTAACCGATGTATCAAGTCCAGCTTCTCCTGCTCGCTTACGACGAATCTCCAACGCCCGCTGACGGTTCCGTTCAATACGGGCTCGCTGGTCATCACTGAGCTCGATACGGGACCGTTTGATGGCGCCGTTTTCCACCTTGGCGAACGTCAGAATGATCGGTCCCGACTCCACTTGTTGCCCCCGTTGCTCCTGCCGAGCGAGAGCCCGCTTGCGGTTCTCTTCGATCCGGGCCCGCTGGGCATCACTGAGTGGTCGGGGAGGCATGATGACCTCAGCCGCACCACAGCAACGATGGCTATATCGCCACCAACCACTACGCCAAAATTAAGAATATATGTGGTATTTAAATTTTAAGTCTGAAATTGTTCATTCATCATTTAATATTTAATGGTGTTTCGTTTTTGCATAAAACGGTAGATGCTGAGTAAAGTGATGGCAACGACACCTTGGAAAGCCCAGAGACCGACAAACGCTGCCAGAACGTAGGCCTCAGTGATCACGGCGTCTTTGTGCCATTGTAGTGCCTTTTCCATTGGTGATATTAGTACTGATCTACTCTTCTCCTTGCCCATGGCATCAGCAAACCCGTCTAGTTCATCCTCACCAAATCTGGGGATATTCACATGAATGTGGTGATTTATCCATGTGAGCCCCGACTCAATCAGTTCGGCTTTACGACCAATAGTACAGTAGACCACAGTCGACACCACCGGACCTATCACCGGTGTATTACCAAAGATGGCGTTGACAGTGCCATTAAGCGTATCCCAAAACGTCAGAACCGTTTTGTTGAGATCATAAGTGAACTCTTGAACGTGACCAATGACGCTTTGATTGAGATTGGACTCGGCACTGGCGATCACCGAGTTGGTGTCGTCAACATACAGTTTAAGCAGCCCGGTAAAGTCTGGCGATGCGAGTGAATCGGCAGTGTCGTTTGAGAACTGGCGGATCGCTTGAGCCGCGGTGTTAATCATCGTCATTTGAAGCCAGCATGATAATAGACCGACAACCCCAATGAACAATATCGTCAATGCTGGAGGCAGTGCCATATACTCGGTGACCCACATCAGTGTGTTTGATGGAAGAAGACGTAATCGATGACCCCAATATACTATAGGGTTATCGTAGCGAAACACGACGTTATCTTGGATTGAAGTGGTCGCCATCTCTTTAAGTTGTGCTTGTTTGCGGCGCCAAAAACTATAAGTTTCGTAAGCTGCCACCAATAACAATGCTGCCAATACTAAAGAAAGCCCGATAATAATCCATTTCGACGTGACTTCAATGGTTTTAACCAACTTCTTGGTATGAGAGTCGAGGTCCAATTCACACATGGGATCAACCACATTCAACGGTGGTACTGTTTCCACATCGGTTTGATTAAGGGCATTGGCAATAGACTTTTGTACTGCATCAAAGGGAAGCGCTATGGCTTTACTGATATCATCCAGAAGCAGACTAAAATCAGGTAACGTGTCATTGCGGAACGTTTCAATAGAGTCAGTCACCAGAGAAGGAATCTTTACGCTTTTCAAGGCGTCAACATTAAGGTCAATCATCTGATGGTACTGGGAACTATTCTCCAGGATTGAACCGGTAAAGAAGTTCTTGATGGCGTCTAACCCATCGGCCATCGAATTAAGTACATCCTCTAACCCTTGTACTCCCTCTTGAATGCCTTCAGCAGCGGCAACAATGGTCGTATTGACGGCGATGATCATATCGGTACCGGCATCAAGGGCAAAATTGGCACTAGCATCAACAAGAGCAGAAAGCAAACAAGTATAGGTACCAAGCAACACTTCAAAGGCAAAGATGACGGTTGCTTTAACCACCTCAATGAAAAGGGTGAACAAGTATAAGTTAGTATTTGCGGTGAGGGTGATAATCGACTCCAGCGTCCGCAGAAGCGATTTGGACGCTTCTCGAAGCATATTGGTGTTTTCTGGAGTACACAACTGGGTATTATCGACGGCATCTGACAACAGCGAGATCACCAGATTGCGAAGTAAGATGACCTTCACAAGCACCACCGCCGTGGCCACGGAGTACGGGTTGATGTACACCTGTGAAAGTCTTTCCCCAAAATTGAGGTACAGTCGTTGCATCGGGTTTTTGGCGTAGTTCTGTCGAAATTGTCGTTACTTATACTCGCATGGTGTGTGAGTCCCACCGATGTTTCATCCAAGGGTATGTGGTGATGACCACCAACAAGCGAAGGGGTAACAAAGTATGATCAATAACTAATCAAAAAGATGATAGCCATGTTTTCAACAATAGCAACAGAGTGTTCCGCTGAGATCTTAGTGCCAATTAATGGGAGTAGCAGTTGTCAATAATGCTGAACTTGACTGAACACATATGAAAACAGACAAAACTCATCATCAACAAACTCACACCAAATTGAATGGGAAAATATCGTAATCAAACGCGACTTTCTTCACCATATTCTCTTTATCATGGAAGCATCCTTTGCCGGTGGTAAGGTTGCCGGGTATAACCCGCGCGCGCGCGCGTCGGTCGAATAATCCAGACATGTCTGATCAAGAACAACAAGCCAAGGAAGAGAAGCCCGACGCCACCCACATCAACTTGAAGGTGTCGGACTCGAGTGCCGAGATCTACTTCAAGATCAAGCGGTCGACGCCGATGAAGAAGCTCATGGACGCGTTCTGCAAGCGCCAGGGGAAGCTGATGGAGTCGATGCGCTTTTTAATCGATGGCAACCGTATCAATGAAACCGACACTCCCGACTCGCTCGACTTGGAGGACGGCGACACCATCGAGGCCCACCGGGCCCAGACTGGCGGCTACTGGTAGCCAGTGTTGTATGTATGTCCTGAATTGAAACACTGAATTAATCTGTTACAAGAACCATCGCGTAGACGTGACGAGACCATTTTGCCACCGAATGCTACCGCTACGTGAGACCAAGTAGGTAGAAGGCCATACCCTCCCAAAGTACGATGAATATTACTAGTTTGTCAGGCGGTTAGAGTTTCTAGCGCCGCTTCATGTAGTCCGGTTGCGATGGTTGGAGACATCGGTGTAAGTCAGAGGTGTGTCGAAAGACAAGCCAACGCGAATTTTAACAGTCAACAACACACGAAAGAGTAGACTAATAAATTGTGTTTTACAAATGGTAATTATAAACCGGCTTATCTTTGAGATGATGAGTTTGTCGACGATGTCACCTTGTGAATTTTGAAAGGTGGCTCATCAAACCATACCACCAACCTTTCGAATACGACTGATGAAAACTGGTCACAAAACTCGTCAAAAAAAATCTTACACGGCTGGCCACCTCTCAAGATTGCCCTCTATGCCTAACACTTTTGACCCGGGCGTCAGTGCGGATTTCCGGTGGCTTTGCCGGCAACCATCAGGCAATTTATTTCACTGACGAGAGGTCAGCCACGGGCCAGGGCTAAAACACTTCTACCAAAATGAAAAAAATACGGCTCGGGTTGCCATCCCAAAATTGCTTATTCCACTCCCAAAGATCCCCCGGGTCACGCGCTCGCCGATCAAGTTCCGGAACACTTAGTGGGCACATGAACCGTTCCCTTTTGGGTCATTAACGCTCACGCTCGGCTAGCCTCGTGAGGGTACGCTTTTTTGCATTGCTCACGACGGGTTAGCCCCATCGCCAATGAAAAGAAGGGTGGTGTTGGAACTCGACAATACCCCGCTGTGCAAACAATTAGTTTACGTCGCTGTTTTTTTTTCGTCAGCTTCACCCACCTCAAGTAATTATTTCGTGGTAGGCGTGTTGCCACCACTTCCGTATTCCTTTGACCCCACCACTCGGATTCCACGATATTCTACCCTCTAACTCCAGGCAATTAAGCCAGATTCATTGACTATTAAATTAACCTGAAACAAGCTACTGTTTAGTCAATCTTCAATTCACCATTCTCTTTCGCCTCACTAAATTCCATCCCCCGAGTCTCGTCATCGTCGCACCACCCAGCCATGCCTCCCCGCGCGGTCCTGTATGCGCAATTAGGGGTTTGCTCGTCGTCTTTCGCACCACCACCCTAGCGCTTCTGGCCACCTCCACTCTCACGTACAGCGACACCATCCACTCTTTGGGCCCTAGGGTTTTCGAACGAGTGATGAGTTTCAATTACCCAGAGTTCCTCCAGAACGAGGGCGACATGGCGGCGTCGCCGCGCCCCTCGCTCCCCCAGCTGCCGCCGCACCGCTCTCGCCACCCCAGCGCCGCCTACGACCCAAACCACCCCCACCTTCCCCTCGACGGTAACCCCATGCTGCCACCGATACCAGCAAACACCTTCAGTCTCCCCGCCGAGCTCCAGGGCGGCATTGGCACCATCTCGCTGCGGCGCCCGCTGTACGCCGCCGAGCTGTTTACGCGCAACCAGCTAGCCAACCTATTACCGGGGCAAATGCCTCCGGGATCCGGTCCCGGCGGCGCCCCGCAACCAGTGGGCCTTGCGCCTCAGCCGCAGCCGTCGGCGCCGTCGCCCTACCCACCATCGCAAGCGTTCTTCCAGGGCCACCCGGCACCTCGTATGGCTCCGTACGCGATTATGAATAATGCCACCCACTTCAAATCGCCGTTGGAAAGCGTGGGCGAGAAATTGGGCCTGATGCTGCTCAATTCGAACTACTCGGAGTTCCAGCAGCGGCGACCACTGCAATTGGTCGATTTCCAACAGGGCGTCCACCCCACGGGTCCTCCTGGCGGTCCCGGCTCTTACCGCAGCCCTCCTCAAGGGCTTGCGCCGCAAACGGGATCTCCCGTACCCCCAGCTGCCACTACTGGTGCTACCGGTACTCCCCCTACGGGTGCGGCGCCGCTGAGACTGTCGCCACCTAAACTGGGTCTCTCCCTTGAAAACGGGCTTATGCTTAATAACCAGTACATCGTGGCGCTGCCTGACCTCAAGGCGCTTTACGCCAAGACGATGGCATACTTCCAGGACCCCCAGATGACGCAACAGATCATCAGCCAACTCCACAATCTCCTTACCCAACCGCCAATTGTGAAACTTATTACGTTCATTAAGAACCTTAATAACTTGACGTTTCACAATAAGATCTTGTGTCTTGTGATCAACAAAAACGGCAAATTCGATCTTTTGAGTTACCCCACCAACCTGAACATCTATTTGCAAAAAGATGATCTTGTCATCGTTGACGGTGATCGGGGCAAAGACCTTGTGATGATTGTGGAGCCATTGGTCAATTTGAACTTTGCCATATTGTTTAACTTCTTAAAGAAGCTTGAACACTTGAAGAGTTTGACGATTACCGACCACAAGCCCCACCAAAACGGGCTGGGGAGATTCCAATCGCTGAACCATAAAGCTAATGGTACTCATTCCACTCAATTGGATGCGCTGGCGATCATAAACTCCCACGCCAATGAGGATAATGAGTTTATCATCACTTTGCCCACTAAGCAAGTGCTTCGTTTCGCTACACCTAAAGAAGTACACAAGGTGCTGGGTAAGTTTTTGGAAGAGAAGAAAGCGTTCATCACTTGCTACAACAAGATCAACGAGCTCAACTTGGCCGACGACTTGCAGCTCATCAATGTGGAATACCAGCTCGACTTTAAGAAATTGATTTTCTACTACTTTGCCGGGTTCAAGCGCATTGACTTCCGCGGGCTTATCAAGGAGTTGTTCAAGATTTATAAGACACGGATCTGGTTATGTGCGGTGTTGCCCTACGACCGGCCCCAGCTCTACGTGACGATGGAGCCGCGTGACTTCCGCCCCGCCCCGCCGCCTCAGGATAAGCTGGGGCTCCATCAGCACGCCACCATCCCCCACGAATACGAGCTCAGCAACGACCAGATTCTCAACTTCAGCATTGGCGAATTTGACTCGTTGGCGCCGCCCAACTACTTCCACCTGGCCAACCTCCAGAATTTGATCCGCCATCTCCAAAACGAGATCCTGGGTCACTTCTACGGGTTCAACGCCGAACGGGGGTCGCCGGTGAAGAGCGCGCTGGTGCTGCTGGCGTCGGCGGGCGACAAGTTGGCGCCCACGTTCAATCCGTTTGACGATAATGACATTTTCAAGCTGAACTTTCAGTTGAACAAGTAACTACTGCATCTCCAATCCTTTTGACAAGGCCTTGGGGGTAAATTTTTTAATCACCGACGTTATAGACGAACTCAATGGGACATGATAGACGCGTGAAATGATATACTAATATAAGTGAATATAGAGAATATAAGTGAATATAGAGAGTGCTTGTTTTTTTCAACAACGATGTGGTTACTAGTGTGGTGGTTTCGTCGACGTGTGTCATTACTTCATATATACTGAGATACTTAAAGGTCCTTTTGGGCGTTGTGGAACTTCTTACCGGCGTAGATGGCCTTGTCGCCCAATTCTTCTTCGATTCTCAAGATTTGGTTCAACTTGGCCAATCTTTCCGATCTGGCGGGGGCACCGGTCTTGATTTGGCCACATCTCAAACCGACGGCCAAGTCAGCAATGGTGGCGTCTTCGGTTTCACCCGATCTGTGCGACACCATGACACCCCACCCGGCGGAGTACGAGAGGTTGGCGGCGTCGATCGATTCTTGGAGCGAACCGATTTGGTTGACCTTTAACAACAAGTTGTTGGCGGCCTTCTTGTCGATGGCGGTCTTGATTCTGAGGGGGTTGGTCACGGTCAAGTCGTCACCCACAATTTGGATCTTTTCACCCACCTTGGAGTAGAAGTGGACCCAGGCGTCCCAGTCGTCTTCGGCGAAGGGGTCTTCGATCGAGACAATGGGGTATTGTTGGATGAGGTCGTGGTACAATTGAGCCAATTCGGGGCCCGACAACCACTTCGACTTGTCGGAGTTGGGGTTCTTGAAGTCCAAGTCGTACTTGCCGTCCTTGTAGAATTCCGACGAGGCGACGTCCATGGCAATGCCGATTTGGCCTTCGTAGCCGGCGTTCTTGACGGCCAGCATGATCAAGTCCAAGGCTTCCTTGGGGGTGGAGATGTCGGGGGCGACACCACCTTCGTCACCGACGTTACCGGCGGATTGGCCGTATTCCTTCTTGGCCAACGACTTGAGTTCGTGGTAGACTTCGGAGCCGATTCTCATCGCTTCCGAGAACGAAGGGGCACCTTCGGGGACAATCATGAATTCCTGGAAGGCGAGGGCACCACCGGCGTGCGAACCACCGTTCAACACGTTCATGAAGGGCACGGGCAACACGTAGCCGTCTTGCTTAGCACCCGAAAGGTCGGCGTAGTGCTTGTAGAGAGGGACACCCTTTTGGGCGGCACCGGCCTTGGACACGGCGAGCGAGACACCCAAGATGGCGTTGGCACCCAACTTCGACTTGTTGGGGGTGCCGTCAAGCGACAACAAAAAGTCGTCGACTTGCTTCTGGTTGGTGACGTCGACGTTGGCCTTGATCAAGGCGGGGGCGATGACGTCGTTGACGTTGGCAACGGCCTTGGTGACACCCTTGCCCAACCACTTCAGCTTGTCGCCGTCTCTCAATTCGAGAGCTTCGTGGATACCAGTGGAGGCACCGGAGGGGACGATGGCGCGGAACAAGCCCTTGTCGGTGGTGACGTCGACCTCGACGGTGGGGTTGCCTCTGGAGTCGTAGACGGATCTAGCGTGGACTTTTTCAATGGCCATTGGGAATTGGAAGTTGGGGGATGGGTACGAAAAACTTGGGCGAGGGTGCGGATGGGCGCTGGTTTATATACTTTGCGGGTGGGGATCAGCCGGGGCAGAGGAGGGGGGAGGTGTGCGGACGGCTGTCGGCCATATATTTTGTCGCTGGTGGGGCTAGGGGTAGGTGCGTGGCATTAATATACCGATGAGGCGGTCAATTGGTGAAGTTACGGCGTTAGTAGAGATCAATTTGACGCTAATTGAGACTGGCCATGGTTGCGGCGGCCTCGGAAACGGGGTGGTGGTATTTCCCGGGGCGGAACGGGTGTCCCCCCACAATTTTTCAGCGAGGGTTCCGACATGGTCCGCAGCGCCCCGGCGCGTGTTTCGAGGAAGGAGGTATGTGTCCGCGAGTACGGGTGATTGGCCACCGGGCGCGGGCGTGGTAGGGTGGAGATAGTCGTGATTAATTCAGGTTGGGTTGGGGGGTTGGAATTGGCTGATCATAGGAAAGACGATCACAGAATTGAGTGGTTGCTTCGGGTTAGGGGAAACGGATTCCATCATGTTCTACGTGCAGGACGTACTTTTTCTAAAAGGGACGGCTGGTTTGATTCGCCCAATTTTAGAGAGAGTAAGGTAAGCGGAGAGTGATTTAAGAGAGATGGCAATTGGCAGCATAATTGACTAATTTCAAAGATTATATGACTCATAAACACCAGCACTTCATAGTCGGTTGAGTCCCATTTTTCATGGGTAAGACAGTGTGATCTGGGTCTCCGCGCTTAGGCCGGGGTGTACGTGTTTTTTTTCCTATTCATTGACGCGCACCGCGTGGCACGTGCAGCAGTATGAGTTATGACATCATAGCCGCTAGTAGTACCCTAAGCGTACAACACAGGCGATTATGCAAACGTATGCCACTACAGAGACCAACACTCCCATTTTTCTTCGAAAATCTATTTTTGTTATTAGGGAGTCTACAAAAGTAAAGCGGCGATTAAGAGGATACTTGCTGACAACCCGTTGGCAGCGTTCTCCGTGGATTTAGCGTCTTTGCCAGTCTCACTAGCTGAACCAGTAGACGATTTAGATTGAGTGACAATCGCTTGGTCTCCACCAGCAGATGTCAGTTGAGCCTTTCCATCGCCGTTATTGTCGCTAGTATCAGCAGTGTCATCGGTGCTGGCCTTATAGTACTTAGGCAGCAGACCTTCAAACACCACATTGAGATGAGCAAGGGCATCCCACCCCAACGTCAACCCCTCACTTTGATTAAACCGTTTTACATCACAGTCTCCATAGGAAGGCACTTCAAATTGAGCCGAACCCACTTTAATTGAGTCGCCACACTTGAGCTGGACATCACCATCAATGCCAATGCCACTCACAGTATAATCCAAAGTGATATTATCGTATTTTTTGTCATTGACATACACCTCACTGGGGAAGTGATTATAGCCTTCAAGCAGAGGAGCCACAATCACCAGGCGATTGGTCACAGCATAGGTATCGTTGGCTACCTTCAGCAATTGTTTAAGTTGAGAAGCGAGCTCAGCAGGAGAGAAACGGTCGGTACTAGTGGTGGTAGTATTTGCAATGGCAAATGGAATCAGTGAATTGCCCACAAGCAACGTATCACCTGATTGAGGGACATAGCTAATAGGGAAGGGACAGTAGCCTCCATTTTCTTCGGGACAAGTGGTATTAGTGCTTAAAAGCACCGTCATGTCACTATGGACATCAATGGCAAGCTGGAGCGAGTGGTTACCCACAGTGCCAGGAATATAGACAACATCGGCAAACTGGTCGTGGACAAGGTCAATGGACACCGGCGACGACATATTAGTGGGTTGATTTTTGGAGAGTTAATGGAGGTCGTCGAATTCACGCATGTAGGTTATTTAACCCAATCGGGCCATTACCAGTGACGATTACGGTCACCCGCCGCCCCCCGTGCTATTTTTGGACTACGACGCCTGAACTTGCCGAAGAAGAGTATGTTTAATCATTTGGTTGATTAGTTCTTGGTATAATGGTTTAAAGAGTTATTGTCGGGGCGAGGGGGTCTGACACTAGGCTCTGGGCTACTATTTCCACAAAGGTACCGCAAGTGCCAGGACTCATACTGGGCGACTCGCGCGCGCGCGCACCAACGAAAAAAACTGATGTCACCAGCTAGCATTCATCGCTATCGCTAACCACCAACTATGGACACCGTGCTCCCCCTCGAGGCGATCGACAAGGCCATCGGCAAACAGGTGCGTGTCCTCATGGCGCTGGACAAGGAGTTCGAAGGCACGCTCGCCGGCTTCGACGACTTCGTCAACATGGTGTTGGAAAACGTCACCGAGACCACCGACCGCGACAACGCCCTGCCCACCCCGGTGAAGAAGATGTTGCTCAACGGCGGCCACGTCGCCATGATTGTTGTCAAGGACTAGATAACAACGCAAGACATACTTCACTAATTGTTACGTGACATGACCAATTATTTCATAAAATATCTTCGTTTATTTGATTATAAATACATAGAGTCGGAATCATCAATCTAGTCTTTTTTGTCTTCGTGTTCGTGGACCTTCTTCTCAGCCTCGCCCAACGCTTGGCCGCCAAGAATGCCCCCACCGATACCGCCAACCATGTGGCCAGCCCCGCCTAAGTGGAGCTTGTCGGCGGCCTTGTTACCGACGACGGAGCCCACAACGGAAGCGCCGATACCTTTAGCCATGTCTGTTCCTTCACCCATTGTTGTTCGAGAATGTGTGGGCATTGGGGGCACAAACTAGAGCTTATATACTAGTTGGGGGGTGTGGGGGAGACCAATGTATTGCTACTGCCTCAGTTTCGTTGCTGGGAGAAGGCTCGGCCCTACCGTGGCCTCGGGCTGATGTCAGCTTGCATCTGGAATAGCAACCACGGCGTTGATGGCAACGGCTGAGAATGGTGCTAAATGTGGGAATTGACGTGATTCTACACCCAAAAAGAAAGGATAGCTTTGTTAAAATTGAGAAGAAGAACACATTTGTGGTAGTTTACTGTTGGTTTTGTTGGTTTATGATCTGAATTGATCTTGATTCTTTTTTACCCACCTGCATATAACCAAAGAACCACTGATGGAGGATGATGGATGATGTCATAGCTGTCTCGTGTTTTCGGTAGGCGGTTTCGAGAACGTCTGGGGTATATTCGCCATACGGCTCAACCAGCAACCGTTGTCAGTCAATTATGCATGACTCCCAACCAACAAAAACACCCATAGCCACATGCATCTTTCACAAGCGAAGGCCCCGAGGCTGTTCGCTTACTACTAATTGTAATCAAACTTACGTTGTGACACAAACTTACAGAATGGAACGAGAATCGATTGAAACGAATCTCATTGGATTCATTATAAATGTTCAATTACGACTTTGTAGCTGCTCCGTATATTTCGCAATTCCGAACGTAGGTTGGCACTTGAGGTTGTGACTGCCGCATATTACTTCAATAAGTCCAAGTCTAATCAGTATCTAATTAATGTGAAGGGAGTAGGCTCGGAAACGTCAATAATACTCGTATGCAATTGAATCAGATGATGGAGGTGATTGTCGCTGCTGGATAGAGACGATCAATCCACCCATTCCCATTGTCATCGCCTAATTTGGTAATGGAGATACACCCACGAAATCGCCTTATATACACCCACATTCTCTGCCCTCTTGCACCCACCACTCAACCATGGCTGCTCAACAACAACAATCCAACTCGCAAACCCCCAAGGACAACTACTCGCTCGAAAAGGACTTCCGTTTCTTCGACTTGTGCGTGATTGTTTAATTTTCGACTATATATAGTTAATGGACACTCACACTTGAATCACAAAAAGTACGTATTGGGACTTGGAATTGTAGTTCAATGTTCTTCGTCATATTTAGTGTCTGGATTGGCTATCAGATATCAATTGTCCTGCATTTGTTGAAGTACTGCACCTCGATAATTTCCCAGTTATCCAGCTCGCTTAAAGGACGGTCAACTTTCGGCCTTAGCAGTCAACTTGACCTGTCATAAACGATTTCATAATCACGAGCTGCAATTGTAATCAAAATATTCTTCAAATAAAGGCGAGTAATTTTAGTTAATGGACTGAAGGCCGGTGTCTCCCAGATTCTCAAGTTAGAGGCCAAAATAGTGGTATTGTGAACTTAAATTGAATCCCGAGGTTTGTGATGACTTTTGACAATGAGCGCTCTAAGTGGATGCTACGCCAACGTCAGTTGATCTCAAGCATCAAAAGTGAAAGAGCCTAACACTAACCGCTCATAATTTCAACGATTTTGGGATATTTAGTCGGCGTGATGGGGTTCAATCTAACCAATTAGTACACGCATGATCAATTGATCAAAATAAACACTCCAAAAAACGACCAATATCGCTAATACTTCACGATGAAAATCAATAAATGACTAGTGATAGTATTAGTGTAGTCTTGTTAGTATTGGCTGAATAGTCTCACGTGCCTCTCACGTGCGCATAACAACCAATCAAATGAGTCGCACCGCTCACACTCCAAGGTGGTAAATCGGAGAACAAAATTTTCCATCTACAGTGTATACAATGTTCAGAACTGTCGTTGCTGTAAGTGCCCCACAGCCTTCCCTCAAACCAATACCAGCTTGAACGGTCCCGTTACTCCATCCAATTCGTCCCCCACGACGTTTCATTTGCCGTGAGCCCCGTCCCGAGCTCCTGATCACCCCCAATGCCACACACTTCGGTCCCGGTCGGACACCTGGTAGACCTGGTAAAACTTAACAACAAAATACTAACATGCTAGCGTTCTGTGAGAACCTTCTCGGTGACCCCCGCCAGAGCCAACTTGGTGTCGGACTTGTACATCCAAAACATCAAGGCGTTCAAGCCCACTCCCTTGTCGCAATCGGAAATTGAATCGTCGGTGCACAAGTTCACTCCCCCCGCCCCCGCCCAAGTGCCTCAAGACGACATCTCCACCCAGGACTTGACCCTGTACGAAGCCGCCCCCGTCGAAACTCAAGAAGTCGACTCCACCGGCGCTGCTGCCCCTCAAGCCGAGGACTGGTTCGTGTTTGAAAACGACGAAGAAGCTCACTAAGCAGTTATAGAATGAAGCATACGTAAAATCAAAACATTCATATGAGAAAGTGTAGAAGCACGACAGGTGTTATTGACAATTGCAATGCCTACTTTGTAAATGAAAACCAATCAGTCAAACTAATGATTTATACTAAGACTAGCGTTTCTTTACAGTGGAATTGACCCATTGTGTCTTAGATTCTCCTGTTGGGTGTTATTTCATTTATTTCATGAATTTTTCACTAATTTCTCGGAAACTTCACTGGGTGCGAAAAATGTCACCGTAGCGACGAGAGGTTAATAAGCCGACAAGGGATCTAAACTGGAATACGGGAAAAATCAACACTCAGTAACTTGATGCAATCGTCAACAGATCCATACTCCAATCAATGCTAATAAAACTCTACTTATGCACTCACTAGTCGACATTGGCATGTGCACTTGTACCTGAACCAATTTCCCACCATCTACGCTGACAAATCCAATGAAAAATCGCCACCATCATTGCCTACCATCAACAATGATGTAGAGGTCATCTAAAGTCAAATCAGTCTTCCCAATTCCATAAATATCTACTCCCGCCTATTTAGTCACAGTCGCGCGAGTCGCACCCTGTCTATAGAGGCGGGTCACGTACCACTTACCACTCACTGTGACCACGATAATATCCCATAATCGCCCCCTTCATTTAAACAAAAGACAACACTCAATTAGTATCGTTTTGACGCGCTTAAGGTCCGATTCGGAGGTACGTCGAGATCGCGCACCTACCCCCCTCCCCCGCCGACGCGTCCCTCTCGAGTGGGACGCGTCTTTTCGTATCGCTCATGAGTATTTCACGTATTCAGCGTTAACATACAAAAATGCCAGATTCCTGCATATAACACCAAAAAAACCCGATATTTTTTTTTTTTTTTTCGCATTTGACGGCTGGCAGTCATCTTCGAGCGGGCCTCAGTGGAAAAACCTCATTCGCCGCCGAGTCGACCTCACCCATCACCACCGTACACGATATAGGGCGATGGACGACCGCTACTCTAAGTTGGAGGCGAAAAAGGAGGCCATCCGCCAGCACCCGGACTTCGTCCTCGTCCGCAAGCGGTTCCCCCACGCCCAGGAAAGCGACATCTTCCGAGCGTTCATCGCCGGCAAGGGCAAGCTCCGCCAGATCACCCAGATCTTACACGACCAGTTCGCCAACGGGGCTGTCGGTGGCGGCATGCCGATGTACCAGCAGCCGCCGCCGCAACCGCAGCAGCAGCAGTTCTATAACGGCCAGTTCTACCCGCCCCAGCCGCAGCAGCCTCAACAACCGTACCTGCCCCAAATGCACCACCAGCCGGGGCAGCCGCCGAGCTTCCAGCCTCAGATGAACCAGATGAACCAGCAGTTTCCCTATCAGCAGCCCCAGCCGCAGATGGGGTTCCAAAACGGTAACACCAACAACTTTATGCCCCCCTACGGTGGTCCTCAGCCGATGGGGCAAATGGGCGGGGCGCTGCCGCTGCCGCTGATTGACCCGCTGATCAATCCTGATTTGCTTGAAAGCGATGCTAAACGGGCCAAAGTGATGCCGATGCTGAGTATCCCTTCCACCAAAGTTGAAGTGAAGAAAAAACAGTCGATTTTGGATAAGTATAAAGTGAGACCTCAGCGGCTTCAAGGGTTACAACAGAACCAGTTCCAGCAACAGTACCAGCATAACCAGTTCCAGCAAGTACCCCAATACGCCGCCCCGCCAGGACAGATGCCGGGGTACCCTGGTCCTCCCCAACAGTTCAACCAGCACCAGCAACCGCCGTTCTACCCTCAGGGTTACAACCAGCAACCTCCAGTGCACACTAAGTTTGCGTTTAAGGTGAATAACGGGGGCCACTACCCTCAGGGAAGACGTCCGGATATGCCGATCGTGCTGAGACCTGACGGGTCTCATTTGGACATTTTGGAGGAACGTATCCGCTCCAACCGCAGTGCTACCAAAAGACGATATTCCGAGGACTGGCTGGACGACCTGGACGACCTGGAAGGCGGTGGTGGCGGCGGTAAAGCCTCTTACTACGACGGGGTGACTCTGATTGACTCTCAAGTGCTTGAATACATCAATCTGGCGACATTACAACAATTGATTGAAGTGGGTGGTGTCGAACCCGCTGTCGGTGAATTGGTGATGCAACAACGTCCATTCAACACCATCTACGAGATCTCTGAAAATGAGTTCACTTTACCCGATGAAACCCCCAAACCTCCCTCGCGTAAAGGTAAGCGGAAGCCGTTGGGGTTGCGGTTGGTCGAGGCCACCGAACACTCGTTGCGCGGGTACCAAGCGGTTGATTCGTTGGTGAAACAGTGTGCCGAGTACGGGGAACAGATCTCGTCGCAGATGAAAGAGTGGGGGGTCACCGTCACCGGTGAGGGTGAGTTGTCCACCATTGAACTCGATCCGGTTAAGGAACTGAGCAGTCAGACGGTGCCGTACATCAAACACAAGCCCGAGCTTTTGCTGGAGGAAATCACCTTGAACAATTACCAACAGGTGGGGATCAACTGGTTGAACCTTCTCTACCAAAACCACTTGCTGTGCATTCTTGCCGACGAAATGGGTTTGGGTAAGACCTGTCAGGTGATCTCGTTCATGGCCCATTTGAAAGCCACCGAAAAGAAAAACGGGCCCCATCTCGTCATCGTGCCTGCTTCCACCATTGAAAACTGGTTGCGTGAATTCCAAAAGTTCTGTCCTCTGCTTGTGGTACAAGCCTACTACGGGCTGGTCAAGGAACGGGAAGAGTTGCGCGCTCTGCTTGAAGGCATTGACTACGACGTCATGGTCACCACTTACTCGCTTGCCGCCGGTGCTCCTGCCGATTTCAAGTTCTTGAGACAACAAAACTTCAACATTATCGTCTACGATGAAGGGCATTTCCTCAAGAACTCGTTGACGGAACGGTATAACAAGTTGATGAGACTTAACGCCAAGTTCAGATTGCTTCTCACCGGTACCCCGTTGCAAAACAATTTGAAGGAATTGGTGTCGCTTTTGCTGTTCATGTTGCCCAAGTTGTTTAACGAAAAGAAAGAGGATTTGCAGAACTTGTTCAACCAGAAATTGGGCACTGCGTTCTCGTCTAAGCTGCAACTGGGGACGCCACTGCTGCATAACCCGTTGATGGCGACTCAGGCCATCGCCAAAGCCAAGACGATGATGACACCGTTTGTGCTTCGGAGAAAGAAGGAACAAGTGTTGCAACACTTGCCCTCGAAGTGCCACGAAATCATCGACTGTCTGATGACGGAATCGCAACAAAAGATTTACGATGAAGAGATTGATCGGGCCAAGAAGACGCGGGCGGAACGTGAACGTCGGGCAACCATCACCGATAAGGCTGAGCTTGAGAAATTCAAAAAGGACCCGTTGCCGTCGTCAACCAACGTGCTCATGCAATTGCGTAAAGCGACATTGCACCCGATGCTTTTCCGCATTGATTTCACCGACGATAAATTGAAGGAAATGGCCAAGGCGATCATGGCGGAGCCGGAATACGTCAAGGCTAATGAAGACTACATTTACGAGGATATGACGGTGATGCTGGATTACGAGCTCAACAACTTGTGCGAGAAATTCCCTACGATCAACCTGTTCAAATTGCCCGATTCGGCTTACCTTAACCTGGGTAAAGTCACCGAATTGCTTAAGTTGTTGGACGACATCATCAACAAGCGTAAGGAAAAAGTGCTCGTGTTCTCGTTGTTCACACAATTGTTGGACGTGTTGGAAAAAGTGTTGGCCATTTACAAGTACAAGTTTGTCCGTCTTGACGGGGCTACACCGGTAGAGACTCGTCAAGATATCATCGACTCGTTCTACGACGAAGAAGATATCCCCATCTTTTTGCTTTCGACCAAAGCCGGTGGGTTTGGTATCAATTTGGTCGCCGCCAACAACGTGGTGATCTTCGACCAGTCATTTAACCCTCACGACGACAAACAGGCGGAAGACCGTGCCCACCGTGTGGGGCAAAAGAAGGAGGTGACGGTGTACAAGTTGATCACCAAGGACACCATCGAGCAGAACATCTTGCACTTGGCGGAAAACAAGTTGCAGTTGGACGAGCAGATCTCGCTGGACCTGGCGGTGGACCCGAAGTTGGAGGAGAAGCAGGCGACGATGTGGGAGCAAATGTTGTTCTCGACCCAGGGCGGCGTCGCCGTATAAATGTATTATATTATTTTGTCCTTCTAGTCATTGAAATTCTATCATTTGACGTTACTTTAATGTATCACTGGCTGACTTTTGAGTTCGAATATGAGTATTTAATAAAGTGTACGAACATGGTTCGAGTTTGGGTAGTAATGTTGATCAGATGATCCGTTGTAGCGAAACATTAAGCGTGGTTAGTGAAGGGCTGCTGGTCTTCCTAGCGCTGATTCCACGCCATCCAAAATGTACCTTGATAGAAGTCGAGATTAGGTTAGAGACTTAAATTGTTCCAATAGTGGCTGTTAACAAAAAGTTTCGAACGAGTTGTTGTTTTGTCTGTGATTCATGAACGATGGTGGGTGTTTCACGAACACCTAATGCAGTACCAACATCAGAATCCTGATACTATGGTGGCATGACTCAAAAAGGCTAATGGAGTTGACTAAACACCATGCCGCCAAAGTCATTAACTTACAACAAGTGTGTTCGGTTGTCGGAGTCGATGATGAACCGTCCACTTCCACCCCTCCCAGAATACACTAATGAGTCTACTGAAGAACATCAAATACCGACGCAAACGTCTACAATGGCTACCAACGGATCGTTGAGGATACCGTCCCCAGAAATTGGACATCACCTCATACCAGATGATTTTCAGAGGGATTGGCAAATTCAATTAGAGCTTCATACGCAAACTCACCAGGGGCAACGCCAATGTAGGTTTGCGTCGTGCTTCCGGAAGTTCCAGCTGATGGCACAGTTTAAAAACCACTTGCTTCGGAACCACTTTAGGTTTGCTAATTCTAAGCTCAATAAGGATCCAAAATTGCGGAAACCACGGCTGGTAGGCTATTGCGATTGCGGTTTCCGTTGTACATTGAAGAGGTGGTTCACTAGCCATTTGTGTAATCCCAACCTCTGTACTCTCTGGCATGGTGCTCTGTTTGAGGCGCTAAGATAAGAGAAGCCCATCACATGTGTTGTATGAATAAAGCCATTCCAAGTAATTTGAGTCCAGACTCTAATTTCGGAAGTTGTCTACTTCAAAATTTATGCCTAATACCGAAAAATAAACCAATAGTAGTCTGAGTTGAGTGTTGAAAATTTAATTTATCGATCAATCATTAGTACTAGAGTAGCATAAAACTGTTCTCTCCCGAAAAAAATTGGTATTTTAGCTTCTTTTGTTGAAGACCCCTGTCGATGGCATTGTAGTACTAAGACGGTGATCGCGGCGCGGCTTGCCCATCTCATCACCAACCCATGCCTCCGAGAAACCGGCGTAAAAAGAGAAGAACCGAGGACTTTTCGCTGGATTCCGACTCGTCGAGTGAAGATGAGTCCCCTAAGACCACCGTGAATGAAAATCAGCCCCAACTGGTGACGGCTGAGGCTGAACCTGAGGCTATTGATGTCAATGTTGATATCGATGTTACCATGGCGGACGAGCCCAAAGCTAAACAAGAGACCAACCCTAAGCTTATGAACTTGAAGGAGATACCCCTTACTCAGACGTCACTCAATTTGGCCAACTCTACTACACCTTTCGGTAATAACGATGCCGCAGTAGCTCAAATCGCCACTGATCGGGCTGAGCTCACCCAGCAGTACCTCAAAATGTTTGCCTCGCAATACTCTAACGACATTGATGAGCTTCGGCAGAAACCCGACTTCTCGGAGAAGCTGTTGGTGATGTTGGCGAAGGCGCTCCAGCTGGGGGCCAATATGTTTGACGACTCGACGCTTGCGGCCTTGATGGAACAGTGAGCTGACACATGAGCACTTTTGATGGGGGCGCCGGGAAACACAGGTTAATATGATAGAATAAACGCTTATGAGAAAGGGTTAATAATGAGATGAAGCTCAATAAGGGAGTAAGGGCCATCAGGGAAACGTAGAATGTGAAGCAATTTATCGAAACAAAACTCGTTGTTGTTGCTTAAACTGAGAGAGATTGTACAATTTGCTGTCCATAATTTTTCAGTTTGGCCGGTTTTCTACCTTTAGCTTGGGTTCGTATCACGGGGTGTGGCTCATCGCACCACCCCCACACTCAGCGACGCCATCCGGTACCGGCACCGATGACACCTTCATTCAAATGAATCATAAGACGGAGTTACAATGAATCAATTATTAATCTGAATTTTCACATTTTGATTCAAAATTTTCACTCACACGAGTGATAGCCAGATTGTAGAATGGCGTGGGTTGATCCGAGATCACAACAAATATAGTTGACCATAAATGGGGTGTATCAAGTGAAAAACTCAAATTTGAATCCACTATCACCAACTTAATCAGTCTCTGCAATAATTGTTCATTTTATACACAACTTTCCACGGGGTTCCATCTCGCTTTACGTATACTTCTCACGTCCATTTTCACGCACCGTACTCATGTCACTAGAAGTGGTCCAAATCAACGACCGAGAGCCGGAAACGGAGGTGGTGACGCCCCATCCGCGTCAAGTGGTCGACGACATCATCGCCTTGTGGAAGGAAGACCCGCTGACGGAGTCGTTGGGCGCCGCCAAGCTCCACGGCCAGGTGAAAAAGCGCCACCCAAACTGGCTGGTGCTGGAGAAGCGGGTGAGACAGCTCTTAAAGGAGTTTGGCCTCAACGTCAACCTGACCGCTCAACAGGTGAGTTATGCTAAAGATATTAAGGCTCACCCTACTCCTAAGGACGTTATTATGCCCGAAAATGTCCAGGTGACAATGACGCTGAAAAGAGGTAAAGGTCTCTACGCTAAGCGTCCTATCAAGAAGGGGACGATACTATGGGAAGAAGCCCCCTTATTTTATGTCCCCCAACTCCAATCTACTCCGTTGATGAAGCAGGGCCAGTGCTGTGCTTACTGTGGTAAAGTGTTGGAGAAAAGCAACGCCAACCTCACCCTGGGCCTCGACTGCCAGCTGTGTCCGATGGTGTGGTGTCTGCAACGGTGTAAATCAAGCAACACGTTGCACCTGGCGTTGTACCACTTGACTGGGAAGAGACTTATCGATGCTGAAAAGTTTATGGAGCTCGAAGACTACTGTCTCCAAGAACTGTGGAATGCTCTCTATGCCCTCGCTCACATCCAGGCGCAAATCATCATGGAAAAGAAGCCTGAAGCTGGTAAACTGAGTCTAAAGGACAAGTTTGATTCGTTGGCTCTGGTGTCGCAACAGGTGCGGTACCGGGCGGTGAATCTGGGGGCAGGGGCGTTTGATCTGATGACTGGGGGAGCATTGTTTGTTGAAGAGCAACAGGAGATCTTGTGGAAGGATGGGTACTCTAAGTTTACTGCAGTATTCCCTCGACTCAGCGGGGTGACCTACGACGACTTCTTGACGATGTTGGGCACCTACAACATCAACAACTTGGACCTGAACGTGTTCATGATGCAGCTGCACTTGAACCACAACTGTGACCCCAATGTTGACGTGAATACGCACGCCACTGACCGTAGTAAGCCGTTGAAGGTTGTGGCTGATCGCGATATCGCTGGTGGCGAAGAGCTTACCACTACTTACGTTAACCCCAGCCATCCGGTACTCCAAAGACTGCGTGAGCTTCGAGTTAACTGGGGGTTTGTGTGTGCTTGTAACCGGTGTAAACTGGAGAAGCAACAGGACCAGCGGAAACAGTCACAGCTGAAGTCGTTAGAAACGAAAGAGGATATCCGCAAAATGCTCAAGGAAGAGGAGCCCAGCCAGGAAATCGAGTTGGAGGTGCCGTCGCCGTCGCTGGGCGAACGCCGTAAGCTGGTGAGATTTGACGACAACGTGTTGCAACTCACTCAGGAGACGGAAAACCTCCCTGGTGACGCCAACATCTACGAAACTTACCACAAGACTAAATAGAGTTGAATAGACACTTTCTTGTACTGATCTCACTACCAGATCCCAAACGATCTAAATTATGCCATCCTCTAGCAAAGTGTGCCACCAACAGAACGTATAGTGTTACAAATTGGTTTTAGCAACGACGATACCATTAACAAGCACTGGCAACTGCCTTCGATCTTGGTTACTAGGCGTGCTGTTCGCAGTGAGCAAGTGTTTGGAGGTCTGCGATGGGTATGCCAAAGCCGTGCCAAAGCCGTGCCAAAGCCGTGCCAAAGTAGACAATGGTCAAGTTAGCCCTACAATATTAAATAAAAAAAAAAAGAAAGAGGAAGGACTAGGAGAGAAGAGGACGATCGCGGTCGGTACCACCTCTCATGTCATAGTCGATGGCCAACAAACTAGTGAGCTATTGCCATCGTCTTCTTACTTAGACATCAAGTACTCTCAGCCGTGCCAGGCGCGCTCTTTGTTTACTATTTTCGTTAGACGATCGACTCGCACCAAATTCATATCTCGTCGCCTTCAACAGAGAATGTGCGAAATGGAATGGGCTCCAAAAGCCTGCCTCAGCTGTTTGTTGACTGGTTGAATGGCTATGTACATTATTCACCAAACTAATTTCCGGAGTCATCGTTCGCGGGGCCGTGACCCCGTCGTCAAGAGCACCTGCGAGGAGAGCGCCTCACTGGTTGTCATTGAGTTCTGGCCCTTACCAAAAGGGAAAAACAGCCAGCATTGCGTTGACGACGATGTGCATTGAGGGATTTTCCTGAGAACATTCTAACCCCGCCACCCACACTATGTCATGGTACTCATACAGGTTCAGAAGCAAACACCCTAAAGCGAAAATACGTCAAAATCTCTTTGGGGTGGTTATGGCTAGATGCATAGAGGATCTTCGATCGTCGTTTTCGAGATTGCCACAGACGCATGGTGCTCAGAGTGGTGGACTGACTCAGGGCGACAATGGCGAAAACGGGGAGCGTTTTCCGATGGACTCCACCCCAGCTTATGTCCAGGAACCATTGTTAGGGCCGGGTAACAGCCCCCTTTGTCTCTTCGTCGGCTGGTGAGCAGGGCTACTTGTCCCTTTGGATATAAATACTCGCATCTCGCTGGTGTTAGGCTATCACCAAAACCACTTCAACCAAGATACCACTGATGCCTGACACAATCAAATCGCACCTTTTATCCATCGATGAAGACAACTGACCATAAAGAGGGCTACTAACTTTGACTTACTCGACTCCTCACTACAGCGTCCCCAAAAGAAGAACTAAACTTCACGGAAAAACGCCCCTCCGAGGATTTGTGGAAAAAGAATGTCTCTTGAAGGTGACGTGTTGGACGAAACACCCCTTCGAACTAACTTCTTACGATCGGATATAGCCATGCTAACGCACGGATGTCCAGCTGGCTTTGAGCTCAAGGACTCGATCGAGGGAGATCCCCTCATTCAGATCTGGCAATCGGTGGGCACAATAAACTACATAGACGTACGTAATAATAAAAGTTAGGTTTCCCCGCAGGGGAGATGACAAACCCAAATTATTCACGTACTTTGTAGTATTGCATTTCAAGTGCAACTAGCATGGAGGAGGTGGAATGGCCAAAGACAGGTCCTTGGAATCCACTCTATTCTAGTCAAACGGTAAAGGGGATCACGTGCCTCATTCATCAATTGGTTCGTTGTGCTCAGGTATATCTTGCCTATGTATTTCATGTGCACCAAGATAGTGTCGTTCGTTAGGCGAATTCTAGTGGTGAGTTGCGCTAACGACTCCAAACAAGTTCTTACAATTGTTTACGTAAAGTACATTCATCGTTATCTAGTCAGAACTGAGGAAGACGTCAGCGCTCGAACTAACACTATGAATGTTGTCCATCCACCAGAGTCTTTCCTCATAAAAAAATGCTAATTTGGCACGAAAATTTCATGGAAAGGTTGCATTATTAAAACACCTTCAATTGGATGGTAGTGCAACCATATACTTAAGTTGAATTTAAGTAACGTGCTTGGTACAATCATAGATTGAACAGAACATGATCACTGGCTTAACGATATACACAGAAACATATGGCAATTGTATGTATTCGAGTAATGTGTGAAGTGAATCTCCATGGAAACACCAGGATCAATGTGAGATTTGTATATTGTTTCTATTGTCCCACCGGTGTCAGTCTTAGTCTGTAATGAAAGTCGCCTACGATTCACGTCGAATAACGTTCATTGTGGAGAAACAAGGCTAAACGAAACTTTTATTAATACGAAGGATGCTGTGTATGATAGGGGGCCCACGATCAACGTGGGCGCGTGGTATGCGTTTTGCTGTCAGTAATAGATGCTTTTCACCGCGGCAGCACTGGAGAGGTCCGCCATGTGGGAGGGGAGGGGGTAGTCGGAGTAGGAGTCGGGGTCGGGACGGGCCAGGTGGAACAGCGACCGCAGGGCGTGGGCATCGACAAACAGGTCATTCAGGTCGAAGCCGTAGCCGTACACCGCGTTCACCTTGCTGCGGCTGTCCCGGAAATGAGTGTAGACACTACGGAAGTCGTCGACACTCAGATCGGGACTTGCGGAGCGAGGGATCATCGGCAGCCGAAGCTCGGGGATGTGGATCTTCCCGCGGTAGGGGACCGCCAACGGCTTATCGCCCGTGGGCAGGGGCACGCTTCCTCCGGCAACGCTGCGAGTGACGGGAGTAACCGTTGTGGCTGCGGTCGCCGCCAGGCGATTGGTCCACGTCTTCAGGAACTCGCCGCTCTCCTCGCTCAGCAGGTAGTCGTGGTAAGTCATCACCGGTTTCACTGCTTCCCGCAACCGTTCGGCGCGAGACCGAGGGCGGCTACGGCTGCGGCTGCGGCTGCGACGGTGGAGGCGTTCTGGCGGGTTGAGGTTGTCGAGCTTTTGCGGCTGCTTGAACGTCGTGTATGAAGGCGGCCGGGTAATTGGCAGCAGCGGTTCGTCCACGGGTTTGGGCGCCGAGATGGGACCAAAGGCGGAGCCGCTTAAGAACCCGTTGGCACTGCCGTTGGCACTGCCATTGGCGCTGCCATTAGCTTTATTCCTCAGGGGCACTTTGCAAATATTGCGCAACTTGTCTTTCAGGCAGAAGAGGCGAGACTCGCGCTTAGGTGACTTATCGGCAACCACCAGTGGCGGCGCCGGCGCCAGGCGGACACGGTTCATATCGGCACCGGGACGCTGGGGTGGCTTCTGCCCCTGCAGACGGTACTTGTTGAGAAGGGGGTTCGACTTGACCCGGGTGAAGTCACCGTTGCTCTGCCGCTTTTTAAGCTTAGCCTGCTTGGTGCGGTACTGGTTGAGGATGGCGTTGCCTTCGTCGTCGCGGGTCGGCCCTTTGAAAAGCAACGCGAAGAACAGAGCGATCGTCTTGGCCTTTTTCTGGGCTGGTGGCGGAGTAGAGCCGGCTCCACCCACCACCTCAACCGCGTGGGACCACCGCAGGTTATTCTGCGGCTGGTGGCAGTAAGGGATGAACTTTGGCGGCGACAACGGCGGCAGCGGCGGGGTCGAGTATTCGTGGGCGGAGGTGAGCGACTCGGCGGGTTCCGGGAGCGGCTGCGGTTGGGGGGCGGTGGCACTCTTCTGGAGGTCTTGTAACGGGAGCGGCGGTGCCACGGGAGCGGAGAGCGTGCGCTCAACGTCAGCGCCTTTGTGCACTGAGCGCCGCTGAGGAAGCAGCAGACCGGCGTAGTAGTGGCCTTTCACCTGCGACGCTTCCTTAAACAGGGCGTGGCTGGCGGTGCGGAACGCCTCCTTCATGCTGTAGTTTTCTTTAAACGACGGCACCAGCAGTTTGCGGTCGCCCGGGGTCAATGTCCGCAGCAGGCCGCCGGTGGTGGTGCGGACACACTCGGGGGGCATCACCGGCGACTTGCGGGGCTCCAGCGTCGACAACCGGCGTCCGTTGGGCGACCTTCGCGACTCTGCCGTCGAGTACTTTTTGAGTTTGGGCGAGAACTCAGTTTCCAACGGGGTGGAGTAGTCGCGGAAGTTGGGGGAGTGGAACGGCAGCGTGGCGAGGTTTATCGTCGCATTCGCTTTCGGGTCCAACGTGCGGGGGCTGGCAAGCAGCGGCGGCGGCAGCGACGTGGTGCTTGACGGTGGGGCGTTGTATACACGGGAGAGGAACGCATAGCTCAGAGTAGTGCTTTCGGGGATAATCGACGAGGTGGCATCGACGGTCATTGGAGTAAATGGAGTCCCGGTAGAGGTAGCCGCCAATGAGGGCCGTCTAAGGGTAATCGGCGAAAGGGCAATCGGTTCGGCGCGATCTATCGCCGTTGGCTGCTGGAGCGACGTCGCCGAGTCGGTGACCCAGTCGGAGATCGACTCGGTGATCGTCAGCAGCTGCTCGACGAGGCAGAGGGGGATGTCCTGGATGGTGACAAAGTCGGAGTGGGTGTAGCCCAAAAGGGCCAGCAGGGCGTCGTCGTTGTCGTTGATGAGAGCGGCGCCCTCGATGAAGTTGTTGGCGATGCCGTCGGGACCCATGAGGTGCTGGTAGTGGGGCATGACGACCCACTTGCCGTCGCGGTTCAAAAAGCGGAACTCGAGCTGGCGGCGGCTGGGGAGGGCGACGCTGAGCAGCCACTGGTTGCCGCGGTGGAGGCGGTGGAGCTGGGCCCAGCCGTCAAACGACCCCATCACCAGCACCTCCTCCTTTTCCAGAGTGATGGTGTAGCAGTACATTGGGCGGTGCCCCCGGGGAGGCAGGGATGGCGAGACGAGGGGGGTTAATGGGAGGAAACCGGGGTGGGCGGTTTGGTTATGTGGAGCGGGAAGATGCCAAAACCGCAGGGCACAAGGAAACCGTTAGGGAGCTGGAGGTGGGAGGTGGAAGTGTGTGGGAGCTGGTTTTTGCAATGCTTTTTCCGTGGGGCGTTCGCCGCCAGAGAGCAGTGAGATTGCAGTGAGGCCACAGAACGGCACCAGGGCTGCGCAACCTGGAAAACAACACACCCTTATGTGGTAGAGCAACGATCCACGGCGGGGTCTGTGCGCCAGTGATTTACCCGCCGCTTTTGCCCCCCACGGTTGCATTTTTCCTTGGGTACGGGCAGTTTGCTTGGGGCGTGCAGTGCAGTAGCGAGCACCCCACACCCGGTAAGCCAGCCGAGCCAGAACCGAGCGTTAGCGAGCGGCAGGGCTCTTGCTACCAATCTGGTAGTCCGAAAAAAACAATAACATAAGGGCTAACGAGAGCTAACGACAATCAAGTTCGTAGGGAGGCTGGTTGGTAGTCGCTGTCACGTGTTTGGGTAGTGGCTATTTGTGGATTAGCTTTGGCGGAGCGGTCGTGGGCATTGGGGCGTGGCGGTGACAGTGGGGAGCGGCAGGGCGGCGGTTAAGCGCTGGTGCTTTGGTTCTGGGCGAGGGGGTGCGTGGCCTGAGAAGCAGTGGGCGCCGTAAGGTTCCGGCAGGGTTCGCGAGGCGGCGAGAGATAGCCTGGTAGGGGTAATTTGGGAGTAGTAGATGCTGTGGTGGGGGTCAAATGTGTGTTTCACAATTTCCGTAAACAGCCAGTAAGTGGTGGTTGTTATTGAATGGTACGGCGAAGCCGTACAGTTGAGGGGATGAACGAAAAAAAGCTGTTTACCAGGTTGGGTGAATATGCTCGCTGCTGCCCGAAACTAAATGTAGCACCATCCGATTAGGGAAGATAACGAGACCAGGGCTGCGTAACCACATGATTTTAGTGGGCGATGGTTTTTGTATAGGGAAAAGAGGGGGG